TTATGGAAGTGTTTGTTTTCGAGTAGATTTTGTCGGATATGTTCGATCGGAAGCGCTCAGAAGGACCGAAATCATCGAATAAAATGGTTTCGATAAATTTTGAACACGCTGAAGCAACAAAATATGGTGGACTGATTTCAAGTTTTATGTAAACTGGGCCTTTTGATCAAGCGTTTTCTTGATGGTTTAATAATTTTTCTTGTCATTCTTTCTATCATTGTTGTTGTATTTGCACCTCTCGCATGTATAACTAATACGGTTACCAGTGTATAATATCGATAAATTGTTTAATCTAACCTATGAACATAATGTCCGACTGCATGACTGCTGATGTCGTCTGAATATAAGAGGTTAACTCTTATATTTTTAACGATTTTTACGTCACCATAGAGTTGTACAGTATTTCACAGACTGAATTTTAATAGCAAAGTAATTTGAAACAAAAATAAGAAATGAATAACTTATATCTAATCTCTAATGGCTCAGTTGATATGATATAAGCTTTATTCTTTCAGAATACAAGCGGAAAAATATTATAAAAAAAATAAACTATTGAAAGACACAACATCAATTTTGTACGAATAGAGATTCGAACATATGAACTTAGCTTTGCAGTAAACTGCATGGCTCGGTATACCACACATTACAAAAGCTCTCACAGATAACGACCGTTCTGGCATTGAGTTTCATATTATAACACGATGACACCATAATCAACCTACGTCACAGCTAATTTGCAATTATAAAGCTACTAATTGGGATGTCTCTGATATAAATTTAGAATTAGCCTCGTGGTCATTGTGTGGCTATAGCATCTTGTTGACAGCCACAGGGAGTGGCGATATCCATTATGAATAAAATATCATTAATAGTGATAAGCACAAGTTAACAATAAAATCGCATGCATTTTGCATCATTCTCTATTCAGATAGATTTTTTCATTTAAAGGAACTTTTTAGCAACGGTCTGAAATTTTTTTAACAGATCATTTTCACCCCAATCTGAGCTGACATAACGAAAAGATCTGTTCAACTATGAAAAGCATAATAAATCCAAATTTTCAATCAATACGTTTCTCTATTGCTTCTTCAAAAACTAAATTTTTCATTCTTCAAATTTCAGTTTTCATAGATTGTTTGGTTTACGATTCTTTACAGATGAATACTGGATCGAAAAGATCGGGAAGACCATATTTTCTATTTACCCTTATGAGTATCAAAACATCATTGCATAGAATTAATTCAACGTATTAGATGGAGATGAAACGATTTGGATACATAAATAGTAATAGACTTTTAATATTTCACCTTTCTCTCATATCTTAAGAAAATAGTATAACCTTTTTAACATTCACAAAAAAATATGAAAAGAGTCAAACTGCTCGAAAAATTCGTGCATTAGTTGCATTGATTATAATCATCGATAAAGTAATAGTAAATCTGCTTCCGTGTACAGCAAAAAAATGACGTTTTCTGATGAAGATCATCTCTCCTATCATAAACAACTTATCATTTTGTGAGAACTCCAATTGTACTATAATCGTATGCCCGACTGCAATTGAGATGCGCCTTATTAGTTGCACTCACGACTTGTTTAATCCATTCCAAATAGACGACAACGCGTGTATAGATACCTGCGCTATTTTCTCTACTACAGCCCTCACCATAAGACACGATACCCGCTAGATACCACGTATTATTCACGTTTAACATTAGCGGTCCTCCACTATCTCCTCTACATGCATCTTTTCGTCCATTCTTCCATCCAGCACAAATTTGATATCTTTCACTTTCCATTGATGGACACAGATTACGAGGTAGGATAAGCAGATCAGCATACATTAAAACATTTGAACTAGCTCCATACTCAGAATTTGACCCAAAACCGGCAACGTATGCTTTTACGTTGGTTCCAGCTTTTGGATAGTCAGTACCATTCGTTGTCAAATCTGGCATACAAATTGTATCTGTATATGAATTTCGTACTATCGGCTCTTTTAGCGTTAAAACAGCTATGTCGTGCAACAGTGTATTGTGATTATAATTAGGATAAATACAAGCGCTTTCTAATGCATAAGTAGTAGTTAGATTTATATCTCGTTGAATATCGTGGACACCAAACGAGACGCGATACGTATCTTTTAACGTCTTTTGATAACGATTTGGTAAACGCATATATTCAAACGTAGGCAAAGCCGAACTTAAACAGTGTGCTGCTGTTAGAAGATGGAAATTATCGATTAAAGTAGCAGCACATTTTTGTGTAACGTTTACCCACCGGTTTAAATCATCTCTGTAATACATGCCAAGAACGCTGACCCATGGAAACTGACCACGATATCCCTCTTCTCCGCCAACAACACGTGCTGTTCGTATATGAGAATTTGACATTCCACATTGGGAACATGATCCTGTTTGAGTGATGTTTGAACGACAACAGTCGTATCTATCAGCTGTCAATATACAATGTCTATCAGAGTCACATGGTTTGGTTAAACATTCATCTATTTTCGTACAAATTCCATTTGTATTTCTCTCAAATCCTGTTGCACAATGGCATTTGTAACCACCAATATCAATGTTTGATAAACATTTACTATGTTGACCACAAATCAGTGGATTTTCTTCACATAAATCACGATGAATGCAATCAATATTAGTGCCGTTCCTTTGTGAAAAAACGATTTCGGGTAAACATTGGCAATAATATTGACCTGGAAGATTGATACATATACTCGTTCGTGGATTGCACGGTGAATGTGTTAAACATTCGTTGACATCGATACATGTACCATCATTGTCAAAAATGAATCCTAGACGACATTGACATACATAACTACCCAAAGAATTTACACAATGAGAGTTGACGCTACTGCATGGTCGATCCAGAATACATTCATCACGATCAACACAGGTACAGAGGGAATTGGTTAACACTGAATCATAGCCTTTGGCACAATCACATCCACGTTTTGTTCGTAATATTGTAGTCCACACAATTACGATGATCATTGTCGAAATAGAGATAACCAGAGCGAGAATAATACTCGCTACACACAAACAGAAACGACGTCGAGTTGATCCTCTAGATTTAGAACGATTGATGCGTGGTTTCAATATTACAGGTGGGAGATTTTGTTGTTTTGAATAGTGTTTGGCTGCTGAAACTTGTACTAACGTACGATATGATTCTGGTGAAGAGTAATGAGTATCAAGACTTGTAGATATGGTTTTATTCGAAATATCTGATTCATCTTGTTGAACGCATCGAGTCAATGAATCAAGTATATAGAGACGATAAAATAAGAAAGTATTGTTTATTGGTACTTCATTTCTGGACCAATCAGGTACTGTCATCCACGATCGACCATATATTGGAGGATTATTAGAAGTAAATAATCTGCAATAGACAAGAGTTCAATATACAATGAGTAAATTCATTTATATGTACGTACCTGTCTGATGTTTGAACTGATGATGGTGTTGACAAATGATGGTGGTGAGTCTTATTAAGATCATAAAGTGAACTATCTTCAAGATTGACTTCAGACGTAGTATTACTATTATTATTGGCAGGTTCCATATCGGACTGATTAAGCAATCAAATTGCTATTCTATCACTCTCTGAACGACCGTGACTAGAATAGACGGTATCACATATTTGTTTGTTGCTGCGCGAAACTATAGATGAATAAATATTAACAAAAGCTTTTAATAAACTGTTCATATTGAATATTTCTAGAAGTCTGGTGTAGTTGTGAGAATTCATCCCCACAAAGTCAAGAAAACTACATAATTTCAATTCTAGAAGAGAGCAGTCATTGAACGATAAATGACTTTTTTTCTCATTTACGTAACAGTCGCAACACTATTAGTGTTGATTTACAACACCATTATACAAACAGACGGATCTATTATTAAACGACACTGGAGAAATATTAAATAGCTAAAGTGTATACAATAACGCTTTTCTTTTTTGTCTCGCCTTATGTGTTACTTTTCGATCGTTAATTGTTGTTGTGTTAATAAGAACAGTTTAAACAACGAACGACAGTCGAAATGATAACAGTGACTAAATAACAACTGTATTACACTACATTATTTATTCTCGTTTAGATGATAGAAATATAGATGAAGAGGAAGTTCAGAATACTTTGAATTGAAATATGACCTACTGGAAACGATGTACGAACTTTTTCTCAAATCTTAAACGATCTTAAGGTAGTGTAAACAGAGCATAAGAAAGGAAAAGAATTGGATAGAATTTATATCCAATAGCTGATTAACGAATATACTGAGCTCAACTTACAAATTCGTCTTGATGTTATTTGCTTAGTCAGGATACAAGAAAAAAATGTATATCTGACGTTTTCACTCCATAATCGGCCTATCTATTTCGTCAAAAAAATCTAGTAGAATAGTAGACATGAACCCTTGATCATTTTTGAACTTATGAGTATATTTGAGAAAGAAAATGAAACTTCATTTAAATCATTAGCTTTCATATCTTGTTCTACGAATATGATTTAATCGCTTGTACTATAATGGCATTTAGAAAAAACAAAACAAGCGAACAACCTATATTAACAAATTTTTTTTATAATAAAAAGTTTAAGCCTTCACAAAAAGATAATAGTTAAGGTCATGATAGAAAAAAGGAATGGTCGGTTTCGAGTGTTTATACTATACAAATACATAAGATTATCTTCAACTGAACAGTTTCTTGTTTACACATACTGACGTATTTCGTAATCAAATTCTAAATTCGACTTCTAGGAAGTTTCTGTATAAAAAAAAGAACAACCCACACGATCTTTTTTTCATATTTATTGCATTATAATGTGTTAGGCATATCGTAATGCCTTGTAATGTGTTTGCTTTTCTATCGTGTTAAAAACGAATGTCTTGTAGAAATACTGTTGGAAACCGCCTCAAAAAGCAGTTTTTGAGATATTTTGTATGATGAACATTGAGTTACATCTTTGTACGATACACCATCATATAGAGCTCCAGGTAATTGAATGAGCTATTGATCTCGTTTGGCACAAGTTTGAGTGCGAATAGTTTCTAGAAATACTGTCCGAAATCGCCTGAACAACCAGTTTTTGAGATATTTTGTACGGTGAACCTTGAGTTGTGTCCTTGAAAGGTACACTGTTGGATAGCACTCGGCGAGGTGTGTGCGGCACAAGAGAAGTTTAAGTTGGCACAGTTTTCAGTGCGAATGTTTTGTTAAAAGACAAAGTTTCATGTGTTTTGTCCGTAGGAGAAATCCGTATTTTGTTTTTTAAAACTTTTGTGGCTTATAAACGTGGAAGCTGGTCAGGTCAGCGGATAGAGAACTCGAAAGTGTATCTGGTACAGCAAGGCTCGAAGTTGGCACAGTTGTCAGAGTGAATGTTTTTTGAAAAATAGTCGAATCTACTGCTAACTTCACCTACGTATGAATTGACTCGTTTTACCGCATCGACATAAGTAACTGACTCCTTTTACCCCGTATGAGATAAAAAGAGTCAATCCAAAACACTCGACTCCCATTTGAATATTTCTCAAAAACTAACATGAATTTTCAAGAGTCAAGAGACTACTTTTCTCCCATTAAGCTGTTGTAAGAGTATCATCTTCGTTTAAACAAGTTATTTTCATTTTTTCTCTGTATTCCTATGTGTATTTTTGAATCCGTATGTATCAATTCAACTGTATTCACAAGACTATGTATCAATGGATCGGATTATAACAATAATCTGTTGTAAACGTCTGTTAAGTTTGGGATATTACCAGTCTTTTGGGGGAGAAACTCACTAAAATTTCTGGCATCTTTGTTGCAGCTTCCTGACCCTACTCCTCACAGTTCGCCAAATATCACCCCGTTATTTGTATGTACTTTTGGTTGGAATTCATTCTTTTACGAAAATTTGATAATAGATTCATGTTCAGCGATAAAAACTGAGGCTGATTTTGTGTCACATCAGGAATCTAAGCCAGATATTATACCTATATACCATCAGTATCTAAAATATCTCCGTCGGATACCTCGCTCGACAATAATTCGTGTTCGACGTTTGTACAAACGTTTCTTTTTGCCCACTGGAGAAAAAGAGTTGTATTTTTTGTGAACAGAAGTTTAACTCTAGAGGATGATGACCACTATGGTCTTGTACCTCATAAAGAGAGCGTCAAAAGGATGCGTCATTTGGATGTTCTTAACGAACATGTTTTAGGGGAAAATTGAACAATAAAAAGTGCCTTGAACTTCTGTGAGCCAACTTAATGTAATTTAGCGATTAGAACTTTTAAACACGAGTCAAAGACAAACGAAGGAAAGAATATTAACAAGAAATATCTAGCAACAAGATTAGTTTTCCCATGTATTACTCTTGATTAAGTAGAAAAATAATATGTTGTTGACTGTCGATGAATCTAAGCCTGGGCGACTTCAACGAATCAAGGAAAGTAAATTCGATTTGCCTGAAAGTCGAATCATTTGATTCGTTTTACGCTCTGATGCCAGATAAGTAATCGAATAGCTTTGCCCCTCATTATATCACGCGACATTGTGTATGAATTGATTTTTGATTTTTTGAAAGTTCAGAGGCAGTTGGCAAAACTTAGTCCATTCCAAAATATGTTTTAAATCTAGATTAAGATATTTTCACATGTAGACACATTATCAGAGCTCTGATACAAAGATGTATCGTCTGGAAATAAGTGAATCTTTGATTTTTTTACATTGCAGATGTCATCAATAAAAATTAAAAAAGAACAGTGGTCCCAAAACTGATTTACAGCCAGTGGCAGAGAAGATTGATTGTTTGCAGTAGCATTTCCTTTTAGTTAAGTAGCTTTCAAACCATTTTAAAAATGCGAGACTAACGCCTTTTCGTTTTAATTTATACAAAAGCCTAACATGCCAAATTTTGTCAAAAGCTTTTGTAAAATCAAAAAAAAACTGCCGCTGCAAATTTCTTAGAGCCTAAATTTTCTCCTATTTCATGCACAAATCAAATAACTGGTTGGTCACTGAATCCTCTTGAATGGAACCTGATTGTAACGGTGTTAGCAACTGGTGTTTTTTAACATACGCATAAAGCCTATTATAAACTAATCTTTCTAGGATCTTGGACATAGCAGGTAGAAGCGTGATATGTCTATAATTCGTTCAGAGAGTGGGTATCATCATCGATAAAAAGTGGATGTATTAATCCAAGATTTTATTTTTTTAGGAAGAACTTGAGAGGAAAGAGACAAGTTACAAATGTGCTTTAAATCCTCTACTATTTATTACTGGTTCAGCTTCTTTCAAAATCTTAGAACTTATATCTTGACTTGCAGTCTTGCTCCTGAACCATATTTTAGAAACAAATGATTACTTAAGCATTAAGAATTATACACAAATATTAAGCTACATAGCCGCGAGATATATACAGTAGGAGCTTTGCATGCACAGAAGTTTTGACACTAAAAACAAATTTGCTTCAACAGACAAATAATTTTTGTTTTTCTCCATTTTACAACCAGATTATGTGATGCAAAGAAAATAAAAATTTCATAAAATAAGAACGGAAAAAATTAGGAGAAGTACGATCAACTGGAGTTATAAATATTAACGTAGGTTGATAGTGTTATAACTATCAGCTCGAGTTGATAGTTATAACTATTTGAAATTTTTGACCAAAAATTAAATGTCAAAAATTAAAGTTTCTAACTCCAACAAGTTATAACTTAGGCAGTTTTAAACCCATTAGTGCTCTTACTCTTGATGTATAATAAAGACGAGGAACTGGATTTCCTGAAAGATCAATCGTTTTATGAGTTTCGCCCTTCATCATTGCCACATGTAAATGAAGCCAAGCCCATGACTTGCAACATCAATGACAGCCCACAATTGGAATATAAATAATCCCCATTTTGGATAAAACAAGCCACTACAAAACATAAACACATTCTCGAACAACGATTAGTTAATATATCAAACATAGCACCAATTTTGTACCTTATAGGATATAAAGCAAAAGAATAGAGAAATAATCGAAATTGTAAAGATTTACTTTGGCATAAAGCACGAGCTGAATGTCCACCCAGAGCGTCAAGAAATTCACTTGTTAAATAGCATAATAATGTTACTTTACTGTATGCTGGCACAAAATAGAAGGATACGATTGAAAGAAACACCCGAACATAGCCTAAAACAGAAAAGAATAATTAATGGTTGTGGAGTTTATTTACATCGTTGCTATTATAATGATAACTATTAAAATGATAACTGATAATCCAGGCTCAATATCAGTGATTTAGTACTCTCATGGTCATCTACTCAACCATCAAAATTATTCAACACTTATCAATAAAACGTCGTCACTACAGTCATCATCATTTAACGTTAACGATTTTGATCTAGAGTTAGAATGTGATGCTGCTTCTCTAAATTCAAAACCTGTGTGTATTCGACTACTACCACAACAGACAACTGGTGAAAAAAGCAGAAGATTCTTTTCATTCGAACTATGTACTAAAATTATTACAACTTTAGCAAAAAATTACCAAACTATACTGCAGAAACTATTACAATCTTATTTTGTAATACGTATAGTGGTCTATAAATTATGGTAAAAGGATAATCAGCAAAATCTTCATGGTGTTTTGTCCGATGCTCGGCTGAATCTGAGAACTGTGATCCTACTTTATGGAAATGATTTAATGTATCGTATCGCAATGACATATAAACCGTATCCTGAAATATTTAATACTGCTTATAATAATTAACCAATGCTTGCCTATTCTATTTTATTAGTGTAAAAATTCCTAATGAACTAACATCCTATTCACATAATATAGGCGTAAGCAGACAGACAGTCTGAAATACTTTAAATCTGGTGTAGTTTTTAACGTTAATTTGAGATCAGGGAAGCTAAGAATCCAATGTATAATTGTTAATTGTGTTAAAAATATGGCTTATAGATTTCAAATGAGAAACTTTTAAACAGCATAATGTCGTTATTGGAGCTATTAAATCAAGCTCAAAGCTCTTTGAAATTTTAAACGGTGCTCATGATATTTCACGTAAATATCGGTTTTAGTCCTATCTAATTATGTGTCATTTGTTATATATAAATACTAAATAGGACAAATAATGTTGGGAAAATTTTTCATTAATATGCATTGGTTACGTCTAATAAAGTTAATGAGCGAAGTTCATGAAATTCATTCAACGAAAAAAAAAATGATAAGAACGCTTCGATTTGTTGACAAATTAGGTTTTTTATTTGGACACTTACATTTTTGATCCTGGAAATTTAGCACAATTGATCCCATGTACTAATTGTCATGAAAAAATGCACAAATGATCCCGGTTTTTCTAATAATTTTTAATTCGTTATATAATAACACAACTGATCCCGCAAAAAGCTATATTTTTTCTTGCATAACACAATTGATCCCAGAAAATTAGCAGATCATGGCACTGCACAGTCCTTTAACTGAAGCTCATTGACCAACTATATTGTCTCACTTTACCTATAGGATTTAGCTTCACAAAACATTGATATTATGGAGAAGACAAAAGGAAAACAGAGCAGTTCGACACAAAAGAAACAAAATAAGCTAGCAAAAAATATAATCTTACAAGTATTCTAATCTTTGGATAATGCTAATTTAACTTTTTTTGATCTACCTTTTCCTTTTCTTTTACCAATTATTTGTAGTACTGGTTGACTACCCATAACATTAATAAACTTAAAGCATGTATGCAAGTATATTCTTTTAAACCAGTTTGACATGTACAAAATAATGGTGGTAGTAGACGTGAACAGTTCACTAAACGTGCTGAATTGAGCCAATTAGTTAATTCATCATAACTGCTCCGAGCCATTGCATAAAATTGTTGAACCCATGTTGTTGTGTTCATGTTTCCATGTTTTGATGGTACTACATAAACATTTGGCTTCACCTGTAATATTTGTGTTTTATCCACTTGCTGTAACCATGTGTATACAGCTAATTTTAAATGATCTTTATATGTAGATGTTGAAGGACTGTGCAGTGCCATGATCTGCTAATTTTCTGGGATCAATTGTGTTATGCAAGAAAAAATATAGCTTTTTGCGGGATCAGTTGTGTTATTATTTAACTAATTAAAAATTATTAGAAAAACCGGGATCATTTGTGCATTTTTTCACGACAATTAGTACATGGAATCAATTGTGTTAAATTTTCGGGATCAAAAATGTATTTATCCTTTTTATTTAATAGTTGTATAATCGCATTTTATCTTTTATTGTCGGTTCAATAAGCATTTTGATAATCAAACTATTCATTTTTTAATACGTTCAAAGTTCAAATGTATGTATAGTGCGAACAGTTCGTTTCTTTCATACAAATGCGTGTTTCATATATAATTCTATTAAGAAAGTTTGATGAGTTAAGTATTTTTAGTGCTACCACTTCCGGTTCATTTTTCTATGGAAGAAATAGGTAAACCATCGTCTGAAATGAACTGTTTTCCTTTTCATGATCATAGTCAAAGCGATATTATAACAATATTCGAAGGGGCTGTTTATATGATGATATATAATGTCAGAGAAAAATAAAAATTCATGAGAATGAGAAAGAAAACAAGGAAAACGATGTTTTGTATTTCTTTCTCATTATATATTATCAAAAAAGAGGGAAAGAAGAGTGTTCCACAGAGAGAATCATTCAAAAACATGAAAAGTCTAATTCTTTTAAATGTTTCACTAACAAATTGTTCGATAAATGTGAGTAGTTGTTCTTGAAATAGGTCAGTCTTTTCGTCTAGTTTATTAAGCAAAGACACTGCTAATGACAATCTTGTCATTACTATTTATGTCGTTTTATCAATATTTTTTATCTTTCAGTGAACGAAATGGTAGTAACATTGCTTGAATAATTGTGTACTGAGCTGTTTTGGGATATTTTCCATTACCTTGAAGTGGCAGATATCTATGTTTCTTTGTACAGGTTAAACTATCGAATCAATTTAATAATACATCACATTCCATCTCTACACTTTGATCATCTAGCATTTGTATCATCAAAATATTCCAATTACTTAGCTACTATAGTCGATCGTGTCGTTTCATTAAATGTTATTGATGCTACTGATTCACTACCATTGACACGTTTCTATGTACTTCAATCACTTACAATCAGCAACATGCAACATAACGATTTAAAATTTATACTGTTAAACATTTATGAGTCGAATACATTGAAAGCACTAACCGTCTCATTGAATTATTCAGTTGCAAGATATTGAAGATATATATGGTATGATTATATGTAATAAGCTTCCAGAAACGTTGAAAACATATCAAATAATTAATAATGTTAAACCAATAGAATTAATAACATTTACGCAGGTATGGACCGCTGGACAATCAATCGAATATTTATATCTAAAATCGTGTTCTTCCAATTCTAAGTGCAAATTCGGACACTGTCAGTTTATTTCGTCTGTTCTCATATATGCCTAATTTAAAATCTGCTGAAATTCTTCCGTTTCTAAATCATAGACTGAGGTTACTGGCTAAAATCAATCCGCAATCAATATCGATGACAAGCATAAAAAAGTTTCATAGCACTTGTGCTGTATTTTCAATGGACTTTGTCGATCTTCTGCTCTCCATCATGCCACACTTAACAGTATTACGTCTTAAGTGTCTTTCGAAAGATGAAAATATAACCGATGCTTGGCAATGGGAACAAATAATATTAAGACGAATACCACGATTAAAAAACGTCATTTTAGATATTAATATGCTATGTCATTCCGCAAAAAATGGTCGTTTTCTCCGGATCAGAAAACGAAGAGATGAAGGATTTCGAACCGATTTTTGGTTGAATCGAAACTGGTTTGTCTCTTTACACATGATACAACATTGTATCCGATTATTTGTATGGACGTCAAAGCGAGATTGCGACAAAAGTAGTAGAGAGGAGGCTAATTTGTGCAGTAGTTAATGTACAAAATGGATAGTCTTGTGGCTGCATTATGATGGCCACTGGTGTGTTTCATATATAATGTATATGGTTACTTGGTCCTGATTTCAGGGTTTTGATTTTGCCTTTTGCTGTACGGAAACTAAATAATTTTCATATCCATAGTAATAATAATTATTTTATGGTTGAAAGTTTCTTGTGTTTGTTAAATAGAACGTTTTTGTTCATGATTGATATATTGATGTAATAAATAAGTACGAAGAATACCATCAACCTGTAATTCGAAATTAAATTATTTACAATTCAGCCTGAACTACATACATGATAATAGAGACCAGGCCGTTTTGTACCAGTTCATATATTTATCTTGAAGAGAACAGGAGTGTCAGTTCCAATTTTTGTCAAAGAAGGAATCCAGAGTCAGATGTTAGTCTCGATAATTGTAGCTAAAGGTTGGCGCAGTTCTCAGTGCGAATGTTTTGTTAAAAGACAAAGTTTTATGTGTTTTGTCCGTAGGAGAAATCCGTATTTTGTTTTTTAAAACTTTTGTGGCTAATAAACGTGAAAACTGGTCAGATCAGCGGATAGAGAACTCGAAAGTGTATCACAGTTGTCAGAGCGAATCAGGCGTGTAACCAGTATCAAAAATGCGATACCGGAACCGGTCACCGGTATACAAACTTCGTACAGGTACCGGCTTGTCTTGATCATATTTTGCCTAAATAATTCGTTGCCCTTGGTTTTCTTTACTTCTCATTTTATGTTATCAAAGGGATAGATTAATCTTTCCACTTTGATTATGTATAGCTGATTTTTCACACGCTTTTTTGTACGAAAACAGCAATCCAATTCAATCTTTTAAATTAAGAAGTTTGCATAAGTCGAGAAAGCTTTAGTAATTGGAATGAAATTTTAGTGGAAGAAATATGTCACAGATGAACTGAATTTACACGATGTTTTTTGAAAAAAATCGTATCATACCGCAAAATACCAGAAATACCGGTCGACCGATTATACTTCATACTAATGACGGTATGCCGGTCGGCGACCGATATTATTGCGATACGATTGCACCTCTGAAGTGAATGTTTATGGGAAATAGTCGAATCTGTATACATTAACCTGTATACAGGTTAATGTATTATACCGCTATAATATCTAACACATTATAACGTTATAAATTTATAGCATTACAATGCATTAACCAACTGTTCTAGCGCTGTAACGCTATACGTGACAGTGATAGTAAGTGTGCTGTGAGAAGTTTATGTCCCAAATCAGTAACGTATATGTATGATATAGTTGAAGTAATTTTTCCCGGACCAACTTTTCGAGAGGAATCGATTGGCAGTCTCAGAATTTTATGGAAATGTGTCCTTTATGAGAAAACCATGTGTTTTCGTTTTGGATATTGTCTAACTCGGTGTAACGCATTAATACCTATCGTGTTACACCGAGTTCCATTATCTTATCTCATTGCAATGAGATAGAAAAGAATAATGCATTGTACCCTACTTGATATTAACTTGTTATAATACTATATGCATTATCTAATGAGTTATAACGCTATAAAAGATTTTTCCAAATTTATGGCATTATAATTAGATAAAACATCTAAGGTATTATAACACATTAATTTCTGACGCATTATATTGAAGTAGAAAACTCAAACGTGTTATAATACATTAGAATCTAACTTATTATAAGGCGGTAGACAAATCTAATTGCACTGTAAAGAGATAAAAAATTTAAACGCATTATAATGCTATAAATTTATAGAGTAGCAATGCAATGAAAATTTTTATCCAGTTTCAACGCCATAATTTCCTGAAAAATAACTTTGCAACGCGTTATAGCACGACGGATTGCGTTGTAATGAGATAAATCTATAGCGTTGTAATACCATAATTTAAGAAAAAGCACGTTTTATAGCGTTATAACGCTATAAATAGGGATAAAAAGATCCTGTGGGAATGTATGGAGACATGTTTATCAATTTCTTTGACGTAAAATTAGGACTTCATTAATTCCATGAAATAGCAACGTGTAGAATATAATAGTCATATTCAAACAGAAAATATTAAATTTATTCAGATAGTCATGTACACTCAATTAAACTCGCAAAGAAAGACTTGCAGATGGTGTTTTCAAAAAAAGTAACATTTCAAATGAAAAATAACAATATCTACCTCTTCATATTTTCTGTGTTAAACATTACTACAACCTCAAACGCCTTGAATGTGCAGGAGAAATCTTAGGAATGGTAAGAATATTTTATAATGATCAAAATAAATTTGAAATGATTGCCTGTTGAATCTACTAAATTTGTTAATACATATCCTTAAGGTTTAGACATAATAAAATATGATTTTTTTCACTGATATTCTCTGTGAGATGCAAACAAGTAAAATCTACATAGAATTATTTTTAACTCTAAATATAAAGTCACTCAATATTATACCGAGTAGTTTGTTAGTTTCAATAAAAAATACTTCTATTTTCAGAAGTGTGCGTGCATTCAGTTTCCTTATCTTTACGAATGCACATCCTGCAAATGTTTGTTCATAAACGATCATGTAACATTCACACATGCACTTCCTACAACTTATATCTGTCGAACTGCTGCTCTTGAACGAGCTTGTGAGTTCTTTTTGTCAAAAGAACTATTATCACTCAGTTGCATATCGTTAAGTAGTAACGGTGAAATATTCATCATAAAAAACAACTTTGTTTTATTTGGCTTGTTATGAAATTATGTAGTCAAATATAAAATTTACTTTCTCACACACAGTTAACCAAAGCAGAGGATATGAATAATATATTTTAACTATAGAGCAATCCTTAATTCCTATATTTTGTTTGCTCTTTGAATTATGAACGTTGGATATATAATATATGTTAATTTTTCAATTTATCATTTCCTTTACCATTGTTTAAAAATTAAACTAAAAATTTGAAAACAACTTATTATTCTATTCTTTTATGTCAATCTTTTACCTCTTTGCAGATTAGTGGATGAGAAAACTTATTAGTAAAGTCTATAGAAATTTCAGTGCAATTATCATGTAAACATGTCTATGTTTCATGATGATCAAAACTATCACATTTTTATGCTGCAAAGAGTTGTTTTTTCTTGATATGTCAAACAATTAATCCTATCTCTTAGAACAACTGAAGGTATCGTTGTGCGAGATAGTTTTAATAAAACCCATTAAAGTTATTCTCATTTTCTTTTGTGTGCGTGTATGTTGAGTGGGACGGGGGAGGAACTGCCAATGTAATAAAATTAGTCAACATATTTCATCTTCAGTAATATATTGTGTTGTGCGTGTTCATAATAGATAGGTAGAAAGAATTACAGGATATAAACAACAATGTCAATTTTCGTTTTTCCCTCTTTTAAAAACTTATTCTGTTCTAGAAAATCAATTGTTTTCGTACGAAGTATATAATTTTAAATCAGGATTGAATGTTTTCGATGGTGTGCTTGCTATTTTCAACTACAATTTAACTGATTAATTGAAAAAAACGATTGACTTTTCCGGAAATGCTTTAATGCATGTTGTTGTTTGTTCTGTTTTTCTTCTTCAATCTTATGGAGTTGAGTTCTCCGCAATCATCCATCCTTCACCTCATAAACCATGTAATTGGAAACGATCATTTTATAATTTTTTTTCGGTTGTTGTTGTTTTTCAAAGTCTAGAATGACACCAAGGAAAAAATATTAGAAAATAATAAAAACTATATATAGTCAACTGCGCTAGTCAGGAAGCATCCATGTTAAAAAATAAACGGATATGTGTGCGGATATAGACATTGATTTAGTTTAGAGGCTTCATCTATATAAAAGAAGATATACGTGGTTTTTTTGCTTCTATATTAGTAATAAATAACTTTCTCTTCTTTTCTGTTGTATTAAAAGATGTCATTTCACTTTATTACACTTTCAAGCTGCAGTACAAATAAAGCTTCGTTACAATATACAAACAAATTCAATTAAATGTAAGTTTACATTCTAATTCAGAGTTATTCTAAGATCTAAGATATCATACAATAGAAAACAATTTTTTTTATATTTTAAGAAATAAAAGTAGTCTCCATAAATACTAGACAAGAGTATTTTTGTTTGTTTTCTACCGTTCATCCTTTTCCATTAAACATACTGTGTTCAAATCTGTACCTTATAGTGTTTATAAATAAAGAGAAAAGATTAAATGACTTGCTATTATGAATTTAGTCGATGCTTTGGGAAATAATGACGTTATAAATCATATACTAATGCAAATAAATATTTTTTTATTGCTTTCATGCGTGATCTTTTACAATGTAGTTGAACAACTATTGTGTCATGATTATGAAATAAGAGCATTCAGAGACTAAATTTTGGTACGTCACTTCAACGATATAAACATAATTGTGAATAGATTACCAAGTTTGATTTGATTTCTGTTACTAATATTATTCATGATTTCTTTCCGTGAGTGTGGGTAGATTAGAAAAGAACAACTATTCAGTAATTTCCTGATTTACTATTTCTATTCAGTATATGGAACAATAAGTAGAGTAATATTGAACTGCTGGATAGGTAGGTTTGACGATAATTGGAAATTCAGCTAAAAATTGTGAATCTTTTTCTAATCAGATATATAGTTCAAACTGGTAAAATATCAACGTGTGCTGTGCATTTCTTTAATAAAATAGACCTAAAATTTAACTGTATCACAGTTCCAAGTATACTAAGTTCGTGTTGTTGTTTTTTATTATAAAAGGGATATTTTATTTTCAAAGCTTTATTCGATGAATAAAGCTAATCTCGTTAATTATCTTTGCACATCAGGCGGATAAACATTGATTTTTTATGAAAAAAGTAAATAAAACCTCGTTTTTTTTCTTTAATTTATAGATGTCCTCTTCTGTTCTAGATCTTGGTATGGCATCATTTTTTCGTCGTATGTCATCGATTGTAAAACAAACACATAAAAATAAATCGACTGATAATATAACACATGATGAAGAATCTAATGCTGACGATAGTTCACCAACAATTTTGAGGAAACAAATAAAAAATGTAGATTTATCGCCAAAACATTTATCGTTATCCAAAGAGCAACATTTTCAACAATTACGAAAACGACGATGTAGTGCACCGGTTCTCATGTTACGTCGTCGAGTCGACGCATTAGCAACGTGTGATGAAGATGATGAAATAAATTCATCAAGAAATACTTATGTCGATGCAAATATAAGATTATCGTTAGAGCAAATGCTGCTACAAGGCAAAACACAGCACATGCTTTATCATCAAACTAAGTCTGGTAAGTATGCAAAAATGTTTATACCTGATAAGTAGTTAGATGTATAATGAATTAGAATCAAGATAATGTATGTGAACTTAGCTTACAAATTGCATATGAACAGTAAATTTGTAAAGCTTCAGCACACCATATCGTCATAAATAAAATGGGAAGCATTGACGGAGTTTATCCCGTCACTGTTTCTGATCTTCGGTATGAACCGTAGGCATTTTAGTGAAAATCATCCGAACTAATATAAACCAAAAGTAAAATTTTTCCACCATAAGAAGTTTTTCAGAGTAGTGTTTATTCTATTAATTGTCTCAGCTTTTGACTTATCTTGAATAGAATGTTTGTTTGTAATAGAGACTCTTTTACAGGGCAGTATTGATGATTCCTAGTAATCTGATTTGAAAAAATAGAAGATTTATGTTTTTCTCCACGAGTTCACAATATTTCAGACTTTTTTTGTTTTTCATAAGCTGGTATTAGTAGAAATGGAGTATTTATGTTATAGATAAAAAACATTATAATATGTCAGTATTTTTATAGTAAAAAAGTTGAAAATACATTTTTTACTGTAACATCTGTTATATGAGAACAATGGCATCCTTAGAGTTTACAGCGGCATAATTCTGTGGTAAACATTATCAAACAACTATGATAAAAATTTTTAATCCTAAGGAATGTTTTCCTCTAGGATGATATACAAAACAAGATGGCCATTTTTACCCATTTTCTAAATGTCTAGGTTTTTCGAAATTGAATATCGCGTGACCGGAAAAAAGTTGCTAGCTGGAATAGTTAAATGCACTATTTGTTTTTCTGCTAGGAATTCAACTTGAAGATCTACGATTTTCATTAAGATTCATCAAAATGTTTATACTTGAAATATCTTCGGTTCATATCAAAAATTTAAAACAACGATTGAACATTTTAACATTGTACTTGACTATCAATGACTCTTGAAAACATTATTCTCAAAGTAACTGACATACAATAAATATCATTGCATTTTAAATTTACAGATGATTCGGTTGAACTGGTAGATTGTTTTATTCTAGTACACTTTAAAGAAAAATAGAGTTTCATAAGAAATTTATGTTATTATAAGATTTTTTATACGAAGTTATTAAAATACTATTTTATCTTAGCGCCTTTTCCTTTTGAAGAACAAAGATGAGACGAAGCGAAACAACTACCTATGATTGAAGAGAAACCTAACATAAAATCTAAAACTGTTAATTAAAAAATGAAGGAAATGTTTTCGAATCACAGGAGAAGGTGATCTAAACATGGTAATAATCAAGTACCAATTATATGAACGCATTTTTCTTATATATAATTGAGAATGGATTCATTTTTTTGTATAATTTATTCTTCATCTATGAATGAAAAATAATTGAGAATATTTCAAAAAAGAAAAAGATGTTTCGTTAAAAATAGACAGATATAAATATGTTATTCGACTATTTTTATTTTACTCTAGTTTTTATACAAGTAGTTTTAGAGTTTATAATTTGATTGAAGTTTTATTCTTTTTAAAATACAAGTGGATAAATTGCAAATTAAAAACTATAGATTTGAGATCGAACGGAAACAAATGATGATCTCTATATCATCGAAATACAGTCTCTTCTTAACAAAGTTCTAATAAATAGTGTTTCTAGCTAGTTATTTACGCTTGTTAAAATTGCTCATTAATTCACACTCTCCTCCTTTTTCTCTCTTTCTCTCTCTCTCTCTCTCGCTCTGTCCTATGCCCTAAAGATAAATCAATTTCAACATTTCTTCTCCATATTTTAATTTATATACACCGGAATTCATGATTTTCTCTATAACAGACTAGCTTATAGTATAGTTAACATTTCTTTTTACTTTCGATTAAATTTCATTGAAAAATGTTCACCGTTATTTAATGACATATTATTAAGGCAGGGAAAAAAAAGTTCAAGAAAGAGAGTGGGTGAGAGAAAGAAATAGTTTCCACCATGCATAGTCAAATGTATCTATCTTTATGAAAAAAAAAAAAAAAGAAATAATTTTTTCACACTTCAATTTTTTTGGAATGCATATAATAGTATGTACTTTATTTTTATGTTTGCCACTTCTTTCGTTCATTTTGTTTTTGTTCTCTTATTATAATGTTAAGAACTTAAATATAAACTTTTGAACAATAATAACCTACATAAAACAACAATAAAAAGGTAGAAGAGTGTATCATATCATTATTTAAAATAATCTTCTACCTGACAAATAAATAATATTTATAAACAGATATAACGACCTATACCATTGATTTTCATTCATTTATTTATTAATCCAGTAGAAAGAATCAATTTGTGGTATGATATAAAAACTCAAAAAAATAGTTTACATGAATTTTATTTATTTATTTTTATAAAAAAAACAAAAAAACATTCAATTTATCAAAACATATATATAATGGCAAAATTTGGCTCGTTTTTTCGACGTATATTCTCATCTTTTTCATCGGATGATAACAACAATAAAAATAATAATAATAACAATAATAATGACGACAACAATGATGTTCAAATGGTTAATAAAAAAATTCAATCAGAATGTGGTAGTTCGATGATTGAAACAAATTCTAATCATAGTTGTGATGTAATTATTATACCATCGACCAATAATCGAATTGGAAAACAACTAACCATACAAGATAATATTTCAAATAATTCAAACTATCTTTCCTCATCACTAAGTATTCATAAAAATTCATGTCGTCGTTTAAGTGTACCAAATATTACATCACCATCATCAAATGATATTAAAAATCAATTATTAACATCACTTCATCGTTTATCATTATCTTCTCCATCGAAAAATGTTCTTTCATCAACAGCGATTAGTGGAACAACTTCACCATCTACAAGTTCAATTGCATTATCAAATAGTAATATGTCATCAATCGAGTTTAAAACTGGTATGAAATTATAATTTTATGTTTAGTTATAATTTAAAGACTAATTAGTTAATTAGACTATCATTCAATTCATTCATCATTTTCGTTTTATAAAAAAGAAAAAAAAAGAAGAAGGATTATGAGAAAATAAAAATTTTATTCTTTAAAAAAATATTGGATAAACTCTGTGTATAAAAATTTAACTTTTTTTTTCAAACAGTATCAATCATATTCCATTGAAATTAAAAATGGAAAAAATTTTCCTTTTCAGTAATCAAACATTGTAGGAGTTTTTTAATTACGAGGTTTTAAATATGAGACTAATATTTTACTAATGCATATTTTATGCTGAATAATCAATAAGATTCAGTCTGTTAAATTCCGGATGTATTATAACGCTCGAATCAAAGCTCTTTTTAGCCAGTAACACAGAGTTGTATTAAAAAAATAAGTTTATTTTAGAAAGAAAATTTCTTTTATTTTTTTGAGCATGAAAACAGGTTAAAAAATTGTTCGTATTCCATAACAAAATCTGTTTTTTTTTTTGTTTTTTTTTGTTTTTTAGATAAAAATACTAGATGCTTTTAAAATATAGAGATTAACAGAATGAATGAATAAGAGCTTGCCATCAAATTAAATCGTATCTCATATGTTCTCTTCAATTTGAGTAAATCAAATGAAAACTGATTATATTTATATTGAAAAAACTTTTTCTCTATTAGTTTTTCTTCTTTTTTTCTTTTTCTTTTTCTCTTCATCTAGAAGTTTTGTTTTCTCTATAGAAAAGAATTAGTTTATCTCTGTCGATTTACATCTTTGTCAAAGAAAAACATAATTTACTTCTCTATATGTTCCATCATACGTTAAGTGTTGTTTTTTGAATCCCTCTTTTGTGAAGATAGATGTTCTGCCTCTTCAATTTCGTTTACATATTTTACAACTTATGGATATACTACTGCTTAGAAAAAATAAAAAAAAAAAAAATCTTATTAACCGAAATAGATCATGAGAGAATAAGAAAAAAGAAAAGAAAAGAAAAAAAGAAAAAAAAACGGAAATTACGCTTGATGTGTGGAAATAGTCTAGCGAATAGTGCGACAATCAAAAATCTACTAATATCGGAAAGTGTCTTTAAAATTTCTCTTTTTTTTTTCTTTTTTACGTTTCAAAGAAGAAGAAAAAAACGAAGTAAACAACAATCTAAAAGAAAATTTCATTTTCAAATAATGAAAACAAGACAAAATTTAATTTGATCGATTAATTTTACGTATTAGAAAAATATCTAGTGACACTGAGGCATTGGTTTTTCATTAAAAAAAATAAAAAGAGAAGAAAAAAAATATTATAGTATATATAAGTTACACTGACAAAAGAAAAAAAATGTGATGACATGGAGGTAAAACTCATTTTATCCATTGCATGATATTACTAATTAACAGAAAAATAGATAAATTTGTTAAAAAAATAACGAAAAACAAAAAGAAATAAATTTATTTTGATCTGAATTAATTTGACATTGTCCAGATATTCGATCACATAAAAAGAAATTTGAAGAAAATGTTCACTAATGATTCGTTCTCTTTTTTCATTCCATATGGGATAAGAAAGTATGTGTACTTTCAAATACCTCGTTCATTGTTTCTAGTGGTATGTAATAATGTTTCTTCATATTGTTTTCGATATCATTTACGTAATTTGATGTATGCTTCAAGTAAATGACTTGTTTTCTTTCTCTCCGAAATACCAATCCTCTTAACTTTTTCAATAATACTTATAATAGGATAGAGAATCTTTGCTAATATTAATAGTTTTAAAGTTTTTCTTTTCTTCACTTTTGTTCTCTATCACACATGATTACATCACGGTTCGTCTTCTTGTATGATTAAATTGATAGTTTAACCTATACTTTCTTCTTTTCTTTTCTTTGTTTTTGTAAAATAATTTTACTTTTGTTTTTTATGAATATCAAAAAGCCAGAGTTTGATGAAAAAAGATTTTTTTCCATATACGATGACCATTTGTTCGGCTTTGACACCACATATGTAACATCAAGATAGTTGCATGACAATGTATCATTGAACATCTATTGATAAAGAAAATAGACTCATAACTTTTTTCAACAAGAGAACGTCTGTTAGAGAAACATTCAGCTCATATGACAATGAATAATTAGAAAAATAGAAAGAACTTGTAACTGATGAAGAAACCCATCCAAGTGATACCTTCCGATTTTATTCGTTCATACGTCAATCGATAGAGGGTATCCAGCTAGTAAAAAACCTAAAAGGATTTTTTCCCATGACTTTTGAAGATCCGATTTTCTGGAAAATCAGTTTTTCAGAAACTCTAAAGAATAACCAAAGCCTTTCTTAATGAGACATAATTGTAGCCCGCAAATATCTGATTAAAATGAGACAACTTCTGGCTCTACACAATCTTTCTTTGCAAAGTTATAGAATTTACAAGAAAAGCCTTAAATTAATTTCTTCTTATTTCTGTAGCTTTGAGCTGGCAATTAGGGCTTTTCTTGTTAATTCTATAACTTTGCAAAGAAAGATCGTGTAGAGCTGGGAGATATTTCGTTTTAATCAGAAATTTGTGGTCTACAATCATGCATTATTGAGAAAAGGTTTTGGTTATTTTTTAAAGTTTCTGAAAAACTGGTTTTCCAGAAAACCAGATCTTCAAGAGTCATGGGAAAAAATCCTTCTAGGATTTTTACTAGTTCGATACCCTCTATCGATCGACGTATGAACGAACGAAATCGGAAGGTATCACTTGGATAGGTTTCCTCATGAGTAAACCATAGGCCAACTAGTGTAACTGTGCTTTTAGGTCTATTGAATGAAGAAAATTTTTTCTTTTTGTAGATATTTTAATCGTAATGAGTAAGCGTATTTTCTATTACGTATTAAACACTGGAACGTTCGGGGTAAAAAAAGAAGTAATTCATTAACGTTCATTAACTATTCTCTAACTTCTAATTATGCGTTTTTTGACGTTCTCTGTATAATAATTAATTTAGTAAAAAAAAAGAAAATAAGAGAGTTATTCGCATTAAGTGTGAGATGCAGCTTATTATGTTTTTCATATAGACACCTAAACTAGCTGTATCTCTATTATAATCAGATTTATTAATTATTTAAACTAATATAGATATGCATCTTTTTCCTTCTCATTTTCTCTTTTCGTTCTAAAAAATTTGATGTTGTTATGACAGACTATGAACCTCCTTATTTTTGACCATACACACCATTATTGATTATGTGCGGTGAAGAAAAAAAGGATTGTTCCGATGACACTCTAGCTCTCTGCGTAAAAATAGAAAAAAATGAGTAAGAGAAAAAAACACTAACAAAACAAAAAACGGAAAAATAAAATCTAAAACTGAGAAAAACTCATCAAACAAAGAAGCGTAACGTCACGTAGTCGTCATTTTTTTGAGTCTGATTGTGCGAACTGTGGTAGGCTATTGCTGTTGTTGTGTAGATAATTCTTTATGGATTCAGTGACACTGATAAAATTCAGACAAGTAAATACCTCTCTCACTCTGTCTCTCTCTCTCTCTCTCTCTCTCTCTCTTTTTATCTGCTAAATAAACCATACTGATTAACTTTTCTAACAGTCGTTATTGACACTTTTCACTTGTTTACGACTTCCTGTAATACGAAGCTTCTTCTTCTATTCTTTTAATTCTAATATGGAATTTTAGAACAATCGTATCTAATTTCATGTCCGGTTTTTTCTATTTTTAGGTACACCACCAACCGTGCCTTCGCCTCGTTTGAACAACCAATCAAATAATTCACCATCGCCAAATGCTATGAAAGATATTTCTCCGAGTGACACTAATAATCAAATAGATAACTCAAGAAAAATGTCTTTACCAAATAGAGGGCGTAGACCATCAATGTTTGATCCCATTGATCCAACAGAATTACAAGCAGCTTTATATGCTACAGCTGTTGCGGTATGTACACATTTTAAATGGGTTTTGTTTTGAATATGTTGTTAGAAAACATCGCAACTTTCAGCTTTGTAGAACAATACGTTGATCTTCTTTTTTCTTTATGCTGTAATAAAAATCATTTTATTCAACTAACATCTTTAGAAATCGAATTCTACATCTTGTCAAACTAGCGACGAAGATCAAAAACATGCTTACATTCGATGTTCAATATCGTATGATCGAGATAATGATCAAATTCAAATCGATAATATTTGTTTTGAAAATATTTTTTCACTTGAATCATTAACACCTCAACAAGGTCCTCAATATACACCATGTGATCCAACTACAGCCAGTTCATTTTATTGTCGTTTTCGTTTATATCCTGAACGACGTTCGGTATTTCAAACAAAAATTATCCGCCATAATCGAACATCTCAATCACATTTATTCGACGATAAATTGACGTTTGAAATGAAACCTGAATTATTGATTAATCATTCAATTGAAATACTGGTGTATACCATAAGTAAAAATTTCAAAGATGTCAGAGTAGGAACAGCACGCTTTGATTTACACGAACTATATGATAGTGATCGTATTCGAGTTAGAAAAGTATTAAATGAAACTGACAATAATACAAATCAGGTTAGAAGACAATTGTTATTCATTTTTCAAAAATGTATTTCTTTCTTTCTTTCTTTCTTTTTTTTGTTTCTAGGATCCGGATCTAGGAGAACTACTGATATCAATGTCGTATTTACCAAGCGCTGGAAAATTGGCCGTAGTCATTATGGAAGCAAAAAATTTACGTCCATTGTCAGTTGAAAGCAAAGTATTACCGGGTAACAGCAAACATCATTTTAATAAGTGATTTGCAACTTTCTTTCTATTATGTAAATTAATTGCTCCATTTTAGACCCGTGTGTTAAAGTCACATTACTTCGCGATGGACGAAAAATAAAACGAAAGAAAACGAGTGTTCAGCGTTCAACAGACAATCCAATGTTCAATGAAGAGTTAGTATTTGAACTACGTAAAGAAGTTGCTGGTGAAACAATGATTGAAATTCGAATAGTTCATGAATCATTATCATGGAAAGAAAATTTAGGATGTGTTCTATTTGGCGCATCATCATCAACGGGAAAAACAGAAGAAAATTTATATTGGAAAACTGTACTTGATGGGCAATCGTTGAAGGCCGAATGGCAAATGTTAAAACCTGCAGTTAACACGTAACTGCTTTCATGAAAAAGTATTTTTTTGCTTGTTTTCTTGATGTTGTTTAAGAATACAGTAATGTCTTATCTATTTTATTTTCATTGCAAGTAAAATTTAACGTTTTATCACTCTCTTTTCATTCGAGTTTTTTCGCCTTTGGCATTTTGTGGATAATTGCCACTATTTCGCAACACCTGCTACTCTTAAACACTGTTTTATTGTGAAGAAGAACAAACAATCATACGGATAAAAAACCTAAAGTAGCTAGATGAACAATATTGCTATGATAAAAGTCTAATTATTCCTTCAAGATAGTTATCTTGTACTTGCTACGTCGACACACTCAAACTTTAATGTATAGATAATTATATTTTGCTTATTATTTTGAACTAGATCTCAGTTTTTCATGCTAAATGACGAGGAAGTGCGAGTCATTATGTCTGAATAGGAGTGTAGAGTGATCATGTAATCGGTTTCATGGACTTAAAAGTGATAGGATGCCAACTAGATCTAAGATAGCAGAAGGAGAGATGTGAGAAAGATGATGAAATCATACAATTTTTCATTCATTTGATCGAGTCTAAAGGTAACTTCAACAGAACAATGCTAATAATAGAAAGAACACACATAATATAAGCCATGCTTCATGCGCTGGAAAGATAATATATTTCCTAAATGCTACATTATGACAAATACTGAGCATTAACTATTGCACACAGCTATAGTCAGTGAACAAATCATCCAAGTGAATGAATGTCGAGCAGGTACCCTGCTGTCGGTAATTTCATAAGTACCCGAGAAATTTTTGGATAATTGAAGATTTTAAGGTACTTTTTTGATATCTGATCAAGTATTCTGATGAAGTATATTCCAGTATTTGATGACCTAAAATGGCACCGTAGTGATATATTTTCACATAAGAAAAGCAATTTTTAATTAATTATTTTTAAACAAATTATCTACCAGTGAACACTGTGACACTTTTGTGCGTCAGAGAACTCTATCTTGTACATGTCAGGAGAGTCTTCTGTGTTTTAGCGAAAAAAACTTTAATATTTTACAAAAATAGGTGGTGTTTATATAATACATCACGCAAAACAAAACGATGATTTTAACGTCCACAGGTTTAGTGAAACTTTTTCCGTAATTCAATTCTCAATCAGTTTGTTTAGACGTTTAATCGATATTATTACTAAACATTTTCTATCATACGTTGTATTCAGTACATTCACTAGGGTATCACAATATGTCTCAATTTACATTCATAATGTGCATCGTATGCACCACATAGAGAGCAATGGTACCCGGAGAATAAGAGAAAAAAGATTAAAATTTCGTAGTTTTCTAAACTTACACTCTTCCTCTCTAAATGATGTGCATGTCGAAGTATCACAAAAGTCACTTATAATTTCAACAGGAATAATAGAATTTTACTTATAGTGATACTGAATTTAATCTTCTTTCATATTGACATCAAGTGACCAAAAGTAAGTATGGCGCTCTCATTTATTCTAGTTGATTAATTTGTTATTGTCATTTGAGAATGCAGTTGTCTTATCAAATCTAATCTAAATTTGAAATTATTCATTCTTCCCAGACACTTCACTAGACGAATGATTTGAAATTATCAATGATGCGTAGCATATAATCTAAAAGCAATGGATATTCAATACGTCTATACAAAAAAGAGAAATCAGTTTGGTAGACCAACAAATTTTTCTGATCGATCGGCCGAAATATTAGCAGAAGTTATCTCAGATCCAAGTTTATTACAAAATTTTTTGTATAAAAATCCCATTGAACTTGGTGTGCAAAAATCATTTGACTTATCCGAACATGAGGTACAAATTGTCTCAGTGTCTTACATATCAGTTGATTTAGTTTTCTTGTACAGGTAAATACGGTTCGTTTTGATACAGAATCAAAAGGCATTAATCATACTGAAGGTGACTATTTATTACTGATTGATAATGCAATAATAATTAAATTTGTTCATCTCCCAATGTTTTTCAGGTGGATGGCCAAAAGATGTTAACATAACTGAACACGATCAAATAAGGCGATATCGACGAAAAGTTGAGAAAGATGATGCCTATTTGAACTCATTGAGTAGATTAGCTAGAGTAAGATCTTCTATTATGTCACTTGTATGATGTAAGTATCAATTTCTTCTTGTTATTATAGGAGCTAGAATTTGGAATAAAACAGCAAAATTCTATTGATATTTATCAAGAATATTTTCAGAATAAGCTCGATGATTTTGACGAACCATTTTATGCGAAAACAGTGAATTTATACAGTTATTATGCAAATGTAAATAAATCAGCAAATCACATTGCATGGCAAGAAGGAAAACGAAAAATAGCCGTCTCCTATTGTAATCTAGATTTTAATTCACAAACACTTGATGCAATCGATTCATTAGTTTGGGATATGGGTTTGTACTCACCTTATTAAAACTATGTTTTAATATAAAAATTAGTGACTGTTCTGTTCAGAAAATCCGAATAAGCCAGAGACTGTGTTAAAACCGAATTCACCGTTGACAAGTGTTGAATTTAATCAGAAAGATACTCATCAGTTGTTAGCAGGATGTCATAATGGGCAAGTTTGTGAGTAATATAAAATATTTGTATAATTATAACATGTCAAAAATTATCCTTAGACAGAAAGAACTCAAAAATTTATTTACAACACAATCACTTTTCCTTATCTGAAATCTTAATTAAAGTTTCCTAATTAAGCTAATGTTGAAGCTAACATTTGTCTACTTGACTACGATGAATCGTTGAAAAAAGCACAATCACTGCATGTTTTTTGAAACTTTGTTGGAAAACTATCCTTTGGTGATTGCAAATTCGAAATTTATTTGAAAAATGACAATTCATCGCGATCGCGCCGCTACAACCGCGTTCACCATGCGAACGAATCAAGAAAATTGATTCAGGCTGTCTGATTGGTATCCTCTCGTTTCGTCCCGTATTTTTTAATTAGCTCTCATTTCGTCTCGTACTTGTTTCGTCCCCGCTCGTTTCGTCCCGTTTATTTTCTATCATTCTACTCATTTTATCCATTTTTTCTATCAACTGTGTACTAATTAATATTAATATAATTAATTAAGATAACGTAAGAAATTGATACATGCCATATTGATACGTATCAACCTGGACTAGTTTGTTCTCCTAAACCTGGATCAATAACAATTTAATTTTAATCAAGTCATGTTGTATACTCCATGATAGAGTTTAACTGTTTAACGGAAAAGCTTTTGCAAAGAAACAATACTCATGAATGAAACAATGGCTAGGGCTGACGGTTTGACCGTTACATTGTTTCATGGACTATAAATTGAACTATCATATGCTCTTCATCGCACCATTTAATACAACAACATTTATGTAATAATAATAAGTGTAATATTGTTGTTGAACCAAAACGTGCTGTATCGAATTTTGAACAAGCAACATTTAATGCAGTGAGTAACATATTCCCAAATTGTAAAATTTCTGGTTGTTTCTTCCAAAGATATGCAACTGGTACTGTGTCTGGAACTGAACTTGTAGTTAAATGTGGCAAATGTATTAATACTGTAAAATTACCTGTTTCATTGTAACTCGTAAATAAAATAATAAATGTAACTTATAAAGCTATCAATTTCTTACGTTATCTTAATTAATTATATTAATATTAATTGGTACACAGTTGATAGAAAAAAACGGATAAAATGAGTAGAATGATAGAAAATAAACGCGACGAAACGAATATGGGACGAAACGAGTGTGGAACGAAACGAGTGTGGGACGAAACGAGTATGGGACGAAACGAGTGTGGGACGAAACGAGAGGGGACGAAATGAGACGCGACGAAACGAGAGCTAATTAAAAAATATGGGACGAAACGAGACTAGGTTCTTTTTTGTCCAAATATAATTTTTCACATATTATGCTTATAGCTCATACTCTTGCTCGACTTGTGAAACCTGTCTCAATGTCTGTGTTCAAGGTATATTTGATTTACGAAAAGGAAATACACCGGTTGAACAATCATTTATTGAAAAGTAAATAACTGAGTTTTGTTTTCTTGTGGATATTGATAAATATACACAGCCAAGTTTTTCTTTAAACATTCTTGTAGTAGCCATCGTGAATTAGTGAGAAATGCGGTGTGGCTTCAATCAAAATCTGGAACAGAATTTTTTTCCACTGCTGCTGATGGAAAAGTACTATGATAGTAAATAAACAGTACAAACATTCTCAAGTTCTTTTTTCATTTATCAGATTTATTGGTGGGATACTAAGAAAATGTCGGAGCCTGTTGATCAATTAATTTTAGATGTTGAGAAGAAAAATCGTCTCGAGTATGCATTGGGAGCTACGTGTCTCGAATATGATTCAAGTATTGTAAGTAATATAGCTCTTAAGATAATCAAACATTCAACTAACCTCACCTATTTCGAGATAGCCAACAAAATTCATGGTGGGAACAGAAATTGGTCGTATTCTAGTAAATTCAAATTTTTGATTATACTCGAATATTTATGAAAATATAAATTTATTTAAGTCTTGTACAAGAAAGTCAAAAAGTGATTCAGATCGAATTAACGTTATTTATCATGGTCATAGTGGTCCTGTCTACTCGTTGCAACGACATCAGTTTTTTAATAAAATATTTTTGTCCGTGGGTGATTGGACCGTTCGTTTGTGGTCAGAAGAAGTTCGAGACGAATTTATTCTGTCTAGCAGGTAATATTAATTCATCAAATAAATGTGTTCAATCAATATTAATCGTGAATTTTCTATTAAAATTTTAGACCGGGAAAATATCACCTGACAGATGGACAATTTAGCCCAGGTGATTTTTTGTTTTGTTTTGTAAGATGAATTAAAGCATTTAGTGTTACTGGTTAGGTCGGCCGGGAGTACTTATAACTTCGAGTACAGATGGTTCGATTCACATATGGGATTTGTTATTCAAACCAGATGAGCCAGTATTAATTGTCAAGGTATCTACACGTTGTAATGTTTTTTTCATCGTTCTGTCTAATTTTCTGCTATTTTAGTTAGCTGAAGAACCCATTGTTTGTTTGAGATTTCATGAGGCAGGTCGATATATTGCTTGTGGAGCAAAAAATGGAAATGTAACACTCTTAGAATTATCAGATAGTTTATGTATATTGAATCGTAATGAAAAACAACTTATGGCATCTGTGAGTAAGAAACGAAAGGTGTCGACAGCGCAAAATTGCAGCAGAATTTCTTACTCAGCTAGATGTCCTCTATCCAATCAAGTATAAATATCTCACAAGGAGATTTTGCGCTGTCGACACCTTATATTCTGGTATTTATTGCCCTCATTACCGTTTATTGAATACAGATGTTCGATCGAGAAGTGCGACGGATTCGTCTTCTCGACATAAGGGCTAAAGCGAAACAAGAAGAACGTACCCGATTTATAACCGTATGTAACCAGATTTGGCAAGAATGCCGTTCATTGAACCATAATTTTTTATCGTATATTACAGTTACCAAGTGAAGAAGAAACAGCAATTCAACTTGAAAAATCTTCTGAACAATTCTGGAATATTGTAAAAGATCAAAAACGTAGTTTACAAGAACGTGTAAGTTGTCAATCCACCGTCATATACATCTGTTTTACATAAAAAATAACTTTTCAACATTTACAGCTCGTTCACTCACAAAATGAACTACTGCAACAAGAAGAAACAGATTCTGATACTGATGAATTGACGATAACTACAACAGATAAGAAGGCAAACACACCAGAGTTGTAACCGGTCCGATCCGGTCGGACCGGTTGAAATGGTTGGACCGGCCGGTGTTCACCGGTTTTTGCCAGTCTAAAGAAATTTTTTAGTCGTAAAACTCCCTCTAGTCCCCCTCAGGATTAAGTCATAAAATGAATTTCACAATTTTCTAGATATACAATTTTTTTCAATAAAATATGTCGAGAGTAAGCCTAAGTTCTTTTATCAAAGATAATCATATTGTTACAAAAAACATCAACCTTATTTTCTTCAATTTGTCTAAACTTTTTCGTTTTTTTAATCGAAATTTTTTTTAACTCCCTAAAAAGCTCAATCAGAACAGTGTTAGCTGAGAAAAACTTCTCAACTTATCTCAATAATGTTTTGTTTAGAGACCAGGTTTAAGGTGTCACTCCCGTTCAAACAGAAATATTAGTTTTTTTTGCAAAATCTAAGTAAAAAAATTTAAGATTTGCAGATTACCAATTGAGTGGCAGGTAGATGCCTGTTTTTTCTTGAGATAGAAACATCACATATTCATCTTTGGGAAAACTTACAGATATAAACGACTGTAGCATCACATTTCTTCTTGAGTATTAATAAAAACGTGAGTAAGGAACATGCAGATGGGTGTTTTTTGAAGCCTCTCGTTTTAACTGGCAGTACATGACCTAACATACCGATCGGTTTTTGCCGGTTTTTACCGGTCTGAAAATTTCAAGCCGGTCACCGATCGGACCGGATCGGTCTAAAGTTTGGACCGGCCGGACCGGTTACAACTCTGAAACACACTTTAAATTGTATGTGATTGATCAATCTGTCGGTGATTGCATCAAGTACCGTTAATGTATTCTGTTGATACACAAAAAGATACTGAATAGTTCTCATTGATTGTACTAATATTATAACGACAAGAGTAAGAGATTGACTGATGTTTTCTCTAGTATACCTGAATGGAACAGAATAAAGGACTTTTTTCACTTTTAAAGAGCACACCTCCCGCAATGCGTTTTTCTACACAGTTCTTATAACTTAGAACTACTTGATATTCTGTCACGTTTAGATGCACGAAACTGATTACATGATCACTCTGCACACACATTCAGACATAATCACTCTCACTTCTCCGTCATTCATCATTAGATAGAAGTTTTCAAGCGCTACAAGATGCGCTACACTTTTTTTATTTTATTGGATTTTGACAAAAATTCATGGAGTTCAAAACGTCTTCATAAACCTGAACATAATAGAGAAATACACGGTAAAAAGATCAAGAAAAAAGACAGAGGCGCAAAATGCAGCAGTAGCAGCAGATATATTAGAGTATAGTGCTGGTGGTTTTTGAGGTTCATTTATGCAAAATTATTATTCATAATTTTGTAGTTTTTCATTTTGATATTCTTCAATGGATTTCTGTTATTAATAAAGTAGTCAGAATGCGGTAGAAGATCATTTTTCATCATTTAATATTTCCCAAAAGCATCCAAGAATTCTGGATATAGGCATTAGCTTCATAACTGTCTGATTATACATACTATCCTGTATTTTTCCTAGTGTACATTTCATAAATCTGTGTGAAACTGTGAGAAAAAAATTAATTGGGTTTCAAAAAGTAATTCTCAATTTTCCACTCAAAAATTTTGCCACGGATTCTGTCTATGCAAAGCATAATTGATCGAAACTGTTGTAACAAAAGTTGTTTCTATAAAATTCTACATGGGATAAGAGAAACAATTTTTCTTTTCTAACGACAAAAACTTTAAAAAAGTATAAATTAAAAAATTTTCAAATTTTTATTTAACCTCCGTTCAAAATTTTATTTTGAAATTTCTTTCTACTTATCTCATGCAGAATGACATAGGCTACAACTTTTCTGTCGGAAAGTTTTCTTTAAAATGCTTTATTATCGTACAATCGCTGGCAAGGTTTTCAAAAAATTACTTTTTATGCCTAAAAGAGAAAAAAACACTTTTTCTACAATGTTTCACTTAAATCTATGTCACTAGAAAAATTTTCAGACTTATTATATACAACTGACGATTGTCTACAAAATAACTCTACAACAACGTTGATTGAACATTCCAATAAAATATAATGAATAATTTTATAATACCATCGAAATCGAACTTTTAATTAAATTTAATTATTAGTGATTTAATTACTCTTAAACTGTGCGAGGATCGATCAAACACTTCAGGTCATAGCCTACACCATGTCAAAATATTGAGGGAGGAACTCCCTTAAAAAATTTATTTCTGGCAGACTGCTGTATATACAAATTATTACTACCGAAAAGTTGATACTTCCGGATCAGTCGTTACATTGATCCGTATTTTAATGACATTGCTGATCAGGGATCCCAGATCCAAAAGATGAAAATCAGAAAAAATGAGTTCAAAATCAGGAAAAAATTAGACTACGAATTTTTTGGTGCTTAGATAATTAATTATATCTTTTTAAACAATAAATGTCGTATTATCTCTGTGTTCGTGCATTTCACCTATTTTTACGACACATTAAGCTATAATCACAACAAAACACACCAATTCTTCCCAATCTGGGAGATGTTTCTTTCTCGTAAGTTATTCTATGAGTAGAAACAAAGTACAGAAAACTTCAGAAATTTTTCCAGTTCTCGAGTGCTCGTGTGTACAAAGTACGTCTAAGCTCGTAGACTACTGTAATCGATCGAAGAATGAACAGTTTCTGAGATAAGGATCTATACAAGGAAGACTTATAACGAACTATTGGGATATTATTGTCCAGTGCTTACTACCGGAACAGAAAGCGACATGAATGTGATACGATACATGAGCTACGGGCCAACCTTCAGTTCAAATTCACATAAAATCAGAAAAAAAATTCAAAAATTAGAAATTTTCTGCCAAAATCAGGTCTAGGATCCCTGTTGCTGATGCGGGATTTCAAACACTACTAAAGGTAAACATTAAGATTGTTAATGTAACATTTAATTTGATAATCATGAGTCGAATATAGTAACCGAGAATCGAACAAACTATAGTATATCACCGTTCATTGTGAACTGACACCTTGTTCCATAGTAACAATTTTTACAAACACATCTAAAACGTATAGAACAAATGGGATGATTCTGAAATTACAACCGCTGTTTTCATAATATGTGTAACCGTGACAATCGTATGTCATATAAGGATTAAAATTAAAACAATCTATCTCATGATTTTTAAGTATATAAACATATTTGTATATTGTCATAAAAACATTTTAAATTTGAAGATATTTTTGGCATAGTTGAGGATAATATTTAACTCATTCCACGCACTCGTACAACAATATTGTTGAATTATCTTAGACTGCTTACATGAATGAATAACGGTTCTCTTGAACTACTTGCGTTGAAACACATGTGAACAATTATTTTGTTGACCTAAAGCGCGATCAGATAATATATTGAACTTGTAAATGAACAATTTCAGAATTTTCTGAGTAGATTATGAGATTGGATTGAAAAATTGAATTTTTGTCGAGAAAAAAGACTGTGCGTTTTATATGGTCTTGTTCGATCTTGATCAGATGTATTTTACGAAAAAAATTTGTTGTAGAACGTTGGAAGTGGCCAAGACTTTTCTCTACATCAAGTTATTTTCAACTTAAAATAAAAAATTTTGTCAAAAAATAGGTAAGAGATATTCTTAATTTCCGTTGTTGATCATTACTCTATGTGACTCTCTATTCATCAAATAAAATAAAATTAAATTCAGAAAAAATTATCGAAACCCTAGTTAGTGTTTGTACGAACTTTTTTGCTGTTGTCATATACTCAGGTTATAAAAAGTGTATGTATTTGTCTTCATTGAGCTGTTTATGTGATGTCGATTGTTAATAACCCTGTACAGTTGCTTTTAGTTAGCAAACATAAACATTTACATTCTGCAGTCAAAGAGTCAGCGCACTGCATTCGATTGTGACCGTTCTTGTATTGTTTCATGAAACTTATCGATTAATATCAATGGTTATGGAAGATTGCTCGTTCTATGTACAAATGAACGAAAAGATGAATTCATAACTGTGTCTAGTGTTCTCTTCCCTGTGTTTTAATAATAAAAATTTCAAAAAAACAAACAAACAAACAAAAAAAACAAAGACAGCAGAAAAAAAGAAGAATATTGAAGACAAAATTCCGATGAGAAGAAAAACAGATAACAAACGGAAAAAGAAACTTAACGCATAGATTCTCTATTTTTAAAATGTTGACGTGAACTTGTTCATATATTAAAAGAAAAAAAATACAACATATAGAAGAGCCCACATTGTAGATTCTTTTGAGAGTTGGGCGAGAGAGAGAGAACGAAAAACAAATAAAATATAAAAAAATACATAAAAGCTAGTTTTAGCTTCTTTTTTTAAATTTTTGGACTGGGATAGAATTCCGAACCTGGACACACACACAAGTACAAGGTATGTGTCTCCTTTAACATTTATATACAAAACGAAAAGAAGTAGCACACAAAGTATGAAAAAACAAAAACAAAAAACGCTTATTATCGTAGCCTGTCTGGATCTAAAGTTAAAACTCTCACGATAGTTATTTGACTTTACTGTTTATTACAACTAGATCCGCTTAACGCCTTCTCTAACGAGCAAGTTTTCTCAAACTAAAACTGTTTTTGTGCCATATACCACCCTTTTTTCCTTAAATATTTGTTATGTATTGTTAGTATACGGATTGATTGACGGAAATAGCGAGGTAAAATCTCGTTACTAAATTTAAACTCGTCTCTTAACGTTAAAATTTATAAAATAATAAAAAAGTCAAGTTGTAAGGATAGAACATACTAACATCTGATTCTCCATAGAACAAAATATGAATATGTTCACGTTTTGATGTGAGTTAAGCAACATAGCTGTACATTTTTCTAAAATAGAAACAGAAAAAAAAATAGTAAAATTAGTGCAATAAACAAATAGATAGATATATAAATAGTATACCTATCATCCATCGAACGTGATAAATAATCTCTCTCAATTAGACTTTCAATTCGTTTTTTAATAAATAAGGGACTGGGCATAAAACGTGTTTTCAATTGATGTGTTACCTAGAAAAAGAAGAACATGTTTTTTTGTGTCTAATAAAGAATCAACAATAAATGGCATACTTCAGCGACTAATTGAATATGTGCCATAGATTTTCGCGTCTTCATTATTCTAACTATGGCCGCATCAATTTCATGTTTTCGATCATCATCCACTTTATTACGTGTTTCTAAACGTTCTGGATCTGATTCAGTTTTTGGTGTAATAGGATTAATTTTAACACGATATAATTTTGATGTAAACGAATCATTTATAGAAAATGTATCTGTTGAAACAATTTCTTTTGTTTTAGGTTCTTTTAAGAAAATACGTTGTGTTGGTTTTCCCATAGCTAATGGTAATAGTGAACGTTGTAAATCTTTTTCATTTATATCTGTTTCATGATGAATTTCCTAGAATAGAAAAAAGAGCATAGTAAGAAAATAATATTTCTTTTTATGATCAAAAACCTACTTCAAATGTCCATGTTTCTTTGCTATTAAATAACATTATAATAACCATTTGATACGTTGATACTTGTAACGTATGTTTTCGTTCTTTGGAAGTAGTTGTTATCGAACGCAATTCTTTATCACCATCATCATCTTTTGGTTTACCAAAAAAAATGGCTGTTAAATCAGCTGAACCTAAACTTGGCTGTAATGTTAACTGTCGACCACTATGTTTATTTAGATAAAATCTACAAATATAGACAAATGAATAAAAAGATAGAATATAAACATTTTTTAAACATACCGATGAAAACATTGATATGCTTCACGAACATTTGATGGTAAATTACACTGATTATTTGTCGACTGTGTTGGCCAAAAACCTGTTGTTAATACCCGCACAGCTAAATCGATACCATGTAAATTAAACTAAACAACAGAAACAGTTTATCAAGTTGATAAATATTAAATTAAATGATTAAAATCATACTCGTTTTTGTTGTACATGTAAACGAAAATCCTCAGCTGTTGTATTTGATATTGATATATCCTTAAACATTCCTTCTAGTTTACATGTAAATTGACATCCACATTCTGTTTTCAAACGTGATATCATATTTTTTTCGGCATCATCCGATGCACTCTTATTCAGTAATAAACGTTTAGCTAAATGTTGTTTATAATAACGTTCAAATACATCTTTTTCTTCTAAATATCGAAATAACATCATGGCTTTATCTAGTACAACTTCGACTTCTTGATCGCCAAGCTAGTTTAAATAGAACAAAACATTTATATTGTTTTTTCTTTTTCATTTATAAGATAAAATGACTATTCAACATACATCTTTGCCACCTTTTTTCAATTTTTCATCAATAAATAATGATAAATATTCTGGACTACGTTGATTTAAATTTATAAAATGCTCAAAATCACTATTAATACGTTTTTTAAACATTCGATCTTCGTTAAATGCATTTTTAAGAAAATGATCAAAATTATCTTTTAAATCAAGTAAACTCTAGAGAAAAAAACAATAACGAAATATGTTAATCTTTTTCTTTTTCAACTACAGAAACTCTTTTTTTTTTTAAACTCACTTGTACATATGTAATAGCACTTTTACCCTCATCACCATTCTCAGTTACGAGTGCTTTTCCTTGTTCACGTAGAAAATTACTCATACAATCGGCTACTGTTTGATGACCACTTGGCACACGTTCAAATAATTTATACATTGTAGCTAAATCTTCATATTTATTATGTTTTAACATATGATCAACACCAGAATTTTCCATTTCAACAATGGTTTTGATATGTTTTGTAATGAGTTCATCTGTAAATAAACAAAAAAGAAGAGTAAAGGTGATAAAAACATTGAATTCTAACAATACCTTCTAAAACTCGAATGATCCGTTCTTCTGTTGATTTATCTAAATAATGTACAGCTCGTTCGGCTTCTTCACTAATTCTTGCTGCAACTTTTCGAATATATACAGATGCACTATTTTCAGCAAGTAATTTTTGACTCTCCAACTATACATAACAAAAAAATAAGTCTCATCTATTTAGCAATATTCTAAAATATCTTACTCGATAAAATTCAGCTGATTGTTGTAAAAATGGCGTTTCAAAATCTTCGGCATAAACACAACGACTATCAATGCCAAGACTCATTAACATTTGACAAGCATTTTTAACTGCACTCCTAAAAAATTTATAAAGAAACGTTTCTTTCGACATAAAGAATAGAAAGAGAATAAATTATGAGCTATGAACGACGAATATATTTCGTTAAAGTATAACTATCCAATTCAAAAAAGAATAAACTCTATTATACTTCGATAAAAAAATACTGATGAATAATTGCGTTTTTTAATGATCACAGGACATCCATTCGTGGAAGAGAAAGTTCGCAACATCATTTGAAAGTAGTATACCTCTTCTAGATGATTTTAATGAATTTTTACTTAGATTAAATACGTTTAAACTGTCAGACACATTCACGTAAATCCAAACTCTCTACCTATCAGGGATCAGCAACAGAAATGCATAGGGAACGGGAAGCCCACGAGAAAGTCCAGCGGGAGTACAATAAGCATTTTCCGCTAGCAGACATCAAGCAGCATCAAGTTTTTATCATCGGAAAAGGTTGGTTTTAGCTTCGAATAACTCTCTGTAGCTGAAAATAGTATTCTCGCAAGAAAAAGTCTTATACTAAAAACTTTTAGTTTTTAATCACAAACACATGAGACGCCCTCTCAGGTGAAATTTTTTGATCAAGAAAAATATTTTAGATATTATTTGAAAACCACATCGTTCAATGAACTTTTTCGTGCTGATTTCGAATTTGACTTTATTTTTTCTTAGGGTTTCCGTCGTCAGAAATATAAATTTTTTATAAAAAGTCGATATTGAGCTAAATACATGGTTCGATAATCCAAGATGTTAACTCTTAGAATCCATACTATTTTTGCCAATATGAAAGGCTTCAGAGAATTCTTAAGAAAATTTTCTAAGAAGCCTAGAAAACTTATTTCTCTGGAATTCTGATGTGGAACAAACACTTCTGGTGAAAATAAGACGTTTCCCGACTTTGAGTGATATTTTGATCAAAAGTTGTAACAGTTTTACTACTAGTCCTAAAATCTGTACTATACACTAGCCCCACTGCATCTGAAAATCAATTTTTGCCTAGTTTTTCGTAATTCCAGGATTTCTTCTCTGTTTCAGAAGCTAAAAACTCCGGAGGCAGTATAGATAGAGAATATTTGTGCAAAGTTTGAGAGAGATTGAAGCTTTAGAAAAGTTTGGAAACTCACCGAACCGAAGAGATGTTTTTGAAAACTTTGTTAGTTTGAAAAAAAAATACTTTTATTTTTCGCCTTCATGAGACTCTATCGAGGAAAAAATTTCTTTTGTTCTGGGACCCAGCCGATGGACCATATAAAAATAGGTGGAGCAGGAACTCTACGGAGCGAGACTTTTTATCGATTGTAGACGTGATCACTACTCATCTAAACCGACAAACAGTAAGCAATATTATCGTCGCCCCTCTTGTAGAAAAATAAATATGAAATTTTCGATTTATTTTTGTATATTTACTTTAACTGTTTTAAAAGGAAACATGACGTTGGGTGAGAATAAAAGTTTAAGAATATCGATATGGAAGAGAAAAAACATTGTTACATGAAGCGATTTTTGAAATGTGATAAAGAGGAAAATAATTGTTTAACGGAAACGAGGTGGAAGATAGTTGTCAGAGTGATGAAAAGCGAGTTCTGCAAAATGAGTTTCCCATAAATCTCTGTTCAACAATAATATTAGTTTCCTAATCAATGACAGAAGTGCATATGAATAGATCTTTAAACTTTCTTTGTCACAGATCGATGTCGATTACTTGCAGCGAAAAACGTTAGATTTCTATCATTCTCCTATCGATAGTATGTGAAACAAAACTGTCAATATGGATTATTATTCTTCTCTAATAGAAAAGGAGAATTATAACTCTTCAATTTGTTTTAGAACTATTGATTTCATGTCATGTCATTTTGATTTTCTTATATTAAAGTTTGTATGTAACCGTATTAATAGTAAAAAAATTTCTTTCTTCTATCGCTTAAGTAAATGGTTAACTGTACTGATGTTTTCATAATAATTAGTCAGCAATAAATTTAGGTATTTGTAAAACTTATTTATTTTTTAACAGTTAGTTGTACAGAGATAGTCGTTCAAGTGTCACTCAACATACGCTTTTCATCTGGGGAATAGTTTATCAATGATTATCTTAAATTCTACATTTTTATCTATTTGTTTCCTTTTGTCAAAATAAGAAAAAAACAAAAATCCTTTCTCTTTTTCTTTTTATTAACTATGTGGTAATATTTTCTTGAAGACAACTTACTTAACAGATTCTCATTTCTTTTTCTATCGTTTTCCTTCTTTTTTATTTTTTTTATTTTGAACGATCGGAAAAACATGAACATACTCAATTATAGAAACACGAGAAAAAAATCTGTTCATTTCTTTTTTCTTTTTTTATGTCAAAATGAATTAATAGAGCTTCCAATCTGTGTACGAGTGAGAGAAACGGATGCCACTCTTATTTTCATTATCATTGTGAATAACCTAAATAAAAATCCAATGATATTTCAATGATCCTAACTACAAACGGATTAATGATGTTTTTATTTTTATTAAATAATTATTTTCGTCAAATAAATAGTCAATATTGTTACGGTTGTAAACGTCATGCAACAAATTCATTAACGGGTGATGTTCAAAATTGGGCATTATTAATTCAAAGTTATATATTAAAATTAGCATCGGATAGTATGCATCGTGAAAAAACACAATCTTATTTTGATTCAGCAGATTATAAAGAAGAAAATAAATCGGGTGATAAATTATTACATGATATGAAATTAATATTGGATACATTTTTTGAAAAAAAACAACGTGCTGCTAATGCAATAGCAGATGAAGCAAGACAAATTTATGATAAATTATATATGCAACGATATAATGATTATAAATTAAATTCAACAGGTTGGTATATTTCAGAGGGTATGTCACCAATCGATTCATTATTATCTACTACAATTACATCAACAGCATCTATAAATAAAAAAGAAATTTATCCATTAGGTTTATCAAAATATCAACGTTTATTAGATTTAAATAATTATACTTATAGAGATGCTGATATTCCATTACGTTTTCCACCAAATATGACATTTCATCCACATTTTAAACGAAATGTTAGTTTACATCATAGTGTAGTTAAAATTTCAGATGAAATACCAAGAGATGATATACAAATTATATGGACAGTTGAATGGACATATGAATTAGAAAAAATTTTTCGTGAAAATCGTAAATTAGATCCAGAAATAAGATGGCAATATTTTGGTTCAAATGTTGGACTTATAAGATTATATCCCGGTCGAGAATGGGATCAAAATTTTGCCGGTTTTTATAATGATTATGATCCACGTATAAGACCATGGTATATTGGTACAACAAGTGGACCAAAAGATATTATTATTATTCTTGATTGTAGTCGATCAATGAGAGGAAGTAAATTTGAAATTGGTAAATCAATTGCTAAAGTAATAATTGATACATTAACTAAACAAGATTATGTTAATATTATATGTGTACATGAAAGTCATTGGAATGATATTGGAAAATGGACTGAATATAAAACAGAAGTTTTAAGTTGTCAACAAGATACAATGGTACAAGCAACATTAGCCTATAAAAGAGATTTAAAAGAAAAACTTTTACATTTACATGCGGGTGGTACAAGTGAATTTGAAAATGCATTTGATTTAACATTTGATTTATTTCAACGTAAACCCAAAACCGGTTGTCATACATTAATTATTTTTATTACTGATGGACAAGATACAGATGGTGAAACGGTTCGATGTGGAGCTGGACAATATACAAGAAGTGGCTATGTACCCGGACCCATTTGTAAATATAATTGGACAAAATATTGGAATACAGTTAAACATAAACAACAATTTACTGAACCAAAAGCAAGAATATTTAGTTATTTAATACAAGATAATGGACAAGTATTTCCTGGACGTTTAGGTAATAGTAAAATATTATTTTATTTTATTTTATTTTATTTTTTTTCTAATTTAGCATGTGATAATAATGGACATTTTCAAATGTTAGCCGATGGTGAAAATTTAATTAATAAAATGTATCATTATTTTGATTATTTATCTAAAATTTCTTTGGATGCTAATGGAAGTTGGACATCTCAATATATTGATCAATGGGGACTTGGTGTTATGATAACGTATGCTATACCAGTTGTATCAACAATTGATAATACAACAATTGGTGTAGCTGGTGTAGATATTACTTTAGATGATATTGAAAATGTTTTAATGAGTAAAACATGGGGTACTGTTTATGGTTTTTTAATTAATCGTGATGGTGATGCAATTATACATCCCGGTTTAAAATCAACCACAATACCCATTGAAGATCCAATATCAACGCATGTAACAAAATTAGAAATGATCGATAATAAACCAGAAAATTTTTCATATATTGTACAATCAATGTTAAGAGGAGAAATGGGTAGTCAACGTTTACCAAATGCTTATAGATCAACAATTAGAAGACAATTAGGCATGTTAAATTATCATCATTTATACACTAAATTTTAATTTGTATTATTTTAGGCATTGGAACATATTATTGGGCACCTATTAATAATACAGATTATATATTTGCATTTAGTTTAGGAGAACATGATGAAAAATTTCGTGAAGTTCGACAACCAAAAAATTTATTATTATATGATGAAAGTTTTTTTAATTTATTAATCGAATATAATAGTACAAAAGGACGAGAAAATTTGAAGGGAAAATTTGAACATATGCAGGTAATAATGGAAAAATATGTTTTTGAATATTTAATGTTTAACTGTTTGTTTCTCTGACTGTAAGTTAACGATCATAAAACGACAATATCACACAAGATGACAAATACGCATAAAGAAAAGAAAAAAAATTCTTATAAGAACAGGCTCGTTTGAAACTAAAATATGAAACATCTCCCGACTATTAATTCTTGAGTTCATTTTCTTAATTAGTAATTAAATAACGGTGAATGAACTTCGGTAAAAGAAATGAGGGTTATAATTGAGCTCCACTAGGCAAACTTATGATCATAATCACTACCATTATTTATTTAATTAAGATCATAACTACAGATGGGGGGGATGGAGTTAAAAAACAGCAAAAACGCTAGGGTTCTGGGTATATAAACTTAGACTTCTCTCTCCTTTGGAAACTATTCGGAGGAGTTTCACAAAATACTTTCATCAAAAGAGAAATCTGTTGACTTCAGTCTAGGATGCTAGAGGAAAATGTTTATATTTAATCCAGGAAATTCTGGGGTCTGGGATCTTTACAACGTTTTTGGAGAAAACTTAGGTTTTCTTTGATTTCAGTCTAGAACAGCGAATGAGTGAGCTATCGAATCTCTGGGGATCTCTCGAGGATCTTCAGGAAATTCTGACAATGGTCTATTATCTACATTCAAGGAATTCTAGGCGTTCTAGAAGGGGTTTCGTATTTTTCTTTTAGGTAAAAATAAACGATACAAAATATCAAAATTTACGTGTTAGTTATTTATATTCATCTATTATGTTAGCACCACGTGTTTATTGTGATCCAAGTGAATATTTTTATAACGATGATTTAGCACAAAAGACAATTGATGCACACATTTATATTAATTATCATTTATACAATAATCAAACAAATAATAATAATAATAATATCACTGTCGATGATATTGGTTGTAGACAAAATAATTCAAAATTTCATGAAAATACTCGAGCTTATGTTTTAATCTCACAACCGATTGAACGTGTTTGGAGACAACGACCACCAGAATTAACTAAAGATATTATTTGGACATATGGTAAGAAAATCAAATATTATTAAAATTCATTTTATCTATATTTATTTTTTTTTGTTTGAAGTTGGTATGCGTACAGGAGTATTTCGAACATATCCAGCTCATCGTTCTGTTCGTGAATATGATCATACAACTCGTGCATGGTATAAACGTGCTGTCGCATATCAAGATCGTACAACTGCTTCAATGCCCTATCTTGATTTATCTGGTGGTGGAAAAGTAATTACAATTGCTCAAGCAATATTTGAAGGTATGACAACTGCTGAGAATAAAGATTGTGAATTAATAGGCAATAATAATCAAACACGAAAACTTACTGGTGGTTGTCCTTGTACAACAGGCAAAGAATGTTTATCTGGTTATTGTTATCAACCAAAATCAGATCAAAAAGGAATACATCGATGTGCAACTGAACGTATTATTGGTGTAACAGGCACTGATATTATATACAATAGTTTTCATTCAGAAATAATGAAACGTATGGTTGCATCGGATGGTAAACGTTCATGTGGTTCAACATATCAATGTCCAAATAGTAGTATGACTGATTTTAATTGTACAACAAAATGTTATTTAATCGATCATGCTGGTTATTTAATTGTTGATCCTGATTTTGTTGACGTATCACCATTTCATGAAGATAAATATAATCAATTAACATTAGGACACAAAGAAGGTGAAGTAATGAGTGATTTAATATATAAACATGGAGTATTTGATAGAGAAGAAACAATTACATTTCAAGGAACATGTCATGTTAGTAAACCATCATCAAAAGTAACATTAGAAGGTATTCCTGTAAATCCAGAAGAATTAGATAATAAATATAAAAATAAAGGACCAATACCACAATTTATGAATGAATACGGTTGCATTCAGGATCAAGTAACATACAAAATAAAAAGAATGAATGAAAAACAACTCAGTTGGACTGAATTAATTGTTGGTGAAGTTCATGGACCGTGTATGAGTGGATATTATTATTTGACACCTTTGGTTAAAACAAACTTATATCTTTTAGTAATTGAAAATTATCAAAATGAAAAATCAAAATTATTTTATAATTTTAACTGTAAAATACAACGTAGTGTTGTTGACAGTGGAGCATTTCGTATAATTAATGGTACATGTGCACATAAAAATGAGAAAATGAGTTCATTGTCTGATGAAAATAAATGCCCACAATTAAGAGATATTACATTAGATTGTAAATATAATTCAATGACTAAAATTACTATAATGAATAAAGTATCAATTGTTTTCTTGTTTTCATTTTTTTATAGAATAAACTAGTGTTACTCTTCTTTTCTATCAAGCAAATGATTCATAACTCAACAATTCAGCTTATGAAAGACAATTATTGGTGTGTGTTATCATATTCAAATATTAATAGATAGGTAAATTAGTAAAAAACTTTTTAAAAGCAAAAAGTCATTATTATTTTTGTAATAGTTCATCAACAAAATGAAGACATTTGTTTTTCTTCCTACAGAATCAACTACATGCACTTCTATATGAGTACACAATTCAAATGAAAATTATTTAAACACTCACTTTTCTACCACTTCTCCACGACGTTCTTTAGCTACCATGTCTAATAATGTCTGTTTTAAATGATCTCGTATTGGTGGATATCTGACTACATTATCTCGAAAAATAATTAAACCCATATTATATACTGGTTCTAATTTTTGTCCACTAACATAGACACGATCCATATACATTAATATGTCGCGAATCATGACCATTGCTAAATAAATAAGGTGTATATTTTTGTACATTTATAAAGAACTATTCGTACCTATTCGATGATCGTTAAATGCTGAATTTAACGTAGTAAGAAAATTGTTATGTAATGAAACAACAACATCTTGCCTTACCTAAGAGATAAAAAAATCCAACATAAAATATATTGCGAGCCAGTTATTATAAGAATCATCGAAAATGAAAAGTTAATAGCGTTGAAATCAATCTAAACTTACCATATCTCATGACTGACGGCATATGGAAGAAAAATCGGTCACTAATGTCGTCAAGATTTTATGAAGTTTCCATCATGTGATTACAAGACTACATCGACAACAAGAATGTAACGAAAATGTCTACTTTTGGCTGTTTTGATGATAGCGATTGTCAGCTGAATGATGGCAAGCGATACCACGAGATGTTTTTGAGCTGAATATTAATAACAGTAGGTGCAGATTCAGATCGTGTAATTCTCGAGATAACTAAGCGATCTTCTGAAAGATAGTTCTGACGCATTTTTATTTCGAATATTTTCGAACACAGCAAACGTGGAGCTGGAAGTCTATGAAAAGAAAACATTTGTAATTTTCTACAAAATGGTATGATCAGATTGCTTGAAGAGCATCACACAAGACGACAAATTCAGAGAAAGTTAAGTCTTGTGAAAACTGAAGCTGATTTACAATATCACATTTTAGCCTTTAATCTATTATACTAGAGTACGTTGAAACATCTTTGGGAAATAGAGCGTTAACTAAAAAAGTCAAAAATACTAGCAAGCAGCGTTTTGGACCCTTTTCCATTCCTTAGGACGCTATGTTTACATTTTGATTAAAAACAAGTTGAAATTCATGATCTACTCCCCAAATAAAGTTGAATGAGATATCATTCGACTAAGTTTAAAACAATTTCCAAAGACTTGGGCACCTACTATTATTGGTATTCAGCTCAAAAACATCTCGTGGTATCTCTTAACATCGAGATCATCGCTTGTCATCATTCAGCTGACAATCGCTATCATCAAAACAGCCGAAAGTAGACATTTTTGTTACATTCTTGTTGTCGACGAAGTCTTGTAATCATATGCTGGAAACTTCATAAAATCTTGGTATGACATGGTAAGTTTAGATTGATTTCAACGCTATTAACTTTCATTTTCGATGATCGTACATATTGGCTTCTACTATGTAGTAGTCGTTTGAAAATCCAACAGCACATACTTTTTGAACAAGATGTTCGGTGACAACTTCTCTTGTTCCAGTATATAATTTTTCTCCATGTTTATGTAATACCATCGTGTAAGCATTACGATATAATTCTTCGAAGCTCAAACCGCTGTTGTTTTTCTTTTGTATCTCTTGGATAGCTGTTTTCAATGATTGATTCCAAATGCCATTAACATACCGATCATCCATCGTATTCTAACAGAAAACAAAAAAATTCACGTTCGAATTTATCATTGTTTCTCGATAGTCGAAAAAACAAGTTCGATATATAATATAGTATTTCAATTCTTTGAAAAACACTAATCGACGGAAAGTATACATTGGCATTGATGACATTTAGAAAGATGCATGTTCTTCAAAAGTTTCTTGTAGCAAAAGCAGGAGAAAGTTTTTATTTTTTCATTCATCACTCTCTTATAATTGTTTACTCTTTACAATAACAGTGATAATAATGTTTGACAATTAATATTTCGATTAACGACATATTTGCTCCTGATACACGATGAATATGAAAAACCTATTTGGTTCTGGCCTGTGAAATACTTACGAAAAACTGTCGAATGCGCATTCTTTTGCTTTTATCGTCCACTTTTGACGTTGTGTTCATAATCTAATATATAGTTGTGGTGCTAGAAAATAAAAGAAAACAAAGTAAATACAAGATGTTGACTGAGCTCGTATAGATTCTACATATCATTAGAAAAAGTTAATTTTGAACTTTTTTGCGAACACGAAAATAAATTATCCTTGACAGTCTTCATAGGCTGTCAATGAAAAGAAGGAAATTTATGATCTCGACACGAACAATAATCTTATGCAAATTAGAGCGGCTATTTGAACACCAATAAAATGACAATCTGCATACCTTAGTACTAAGGAGTATGACGTTCGAGTAAGTAACTATATATATTTAATAACCCCTTGAATTAACTGCTTTAATTGTAGTATAGTTTGTTGAACTTAATCATATCTGGTTAATATCAGTTTCACAAATTTTACCTAAAGCGTACACTCGCTTTTTTACTGATCACTTTTTTTATTCACATGGTCCTGTTCTTTGAATGATTACGTACAACGAACGAACCAATGACTTTTTTTAGATTAATGAATAAGCAAATATACTGATATCAACATACATTAGTATTAGAGGATATTAATGAACTAAACTAAATTCAAAAACGCAAGGTAATATATTTTATACATCGATTTCCCCTTAAACAAAAGAGAAAAAATCTGATTTATTTCTGCAAAAATAAACAAATACATAATGTACATTCTTGTTTTCTGTAAAGAGATTCTGCTTTTATCTTTGATAATAGAATAAGTTCAAGTTTAAGATTCAAATTATCAAATGGTCAATATATATTATACAATATACATACTGAATTGGCCACGCACGGAGTACGATGCAACAATTTGGCTGCAAAGTCTCTAAAATCAACATAAAACGCAAAACGTTGGAAATGAACACGTAAAACATTCAAACGTTTGAACACATACCAGCTCAGGCTATAACGCAGATAAGTGCCGTAAAGTACTGTTTGTTTAACTACGCTAATTAAGCGCTTAACTACGCAGATCAAACATTTAATAAAGAGAGATGAATATCATGTTTACGGAGTATAATTTACACCTGAAATAAAAGTAAAAGGCAATCAATTCTTTTTTAATTCTGAGCGATACATTCGCAATGTCAGCAATAAGCGCCAATAAAAACGATACGTCATATTCATGTTGAACAACGCATCGAACACGTTTTAGTTGCAAGTCCTTTGACGAATGGCCAGGTTTCTGGAACAATATAAAGCGAAAAGTTGAATCTAATTCAAGATGACTAACAAAAGCAAACGTTCTATTTATATGAAAAACGAGAAGCAGTTCTATTCGAGACTTAAATCCTTGAGACTATCAGGATCGGAGACCTTGTGGTCTAGAGCGCCAGATAAGAAGGTGAGATACAGTATACGCCACACATATTCGATCTAACCGACCAATATTTCCTAAAAATCGCACTATCATCTACTGAGTTGCCATTTTAAAGTCATTGTTTAATGTTTCTTTTACTAATTCTCATTCATCATCATTATCACAGTCTATTCTAGTATAGTGCTTATTCTACCATTCATCAGTTGAGTAATAAGTTGTAGCAGATTCAATTATTTACACAATAGACGGAAATTATTACAAAACTTAGTAAAACTTGTACAATTTTGGATGGAATATAATAGAAACGATAAACATTTCGTAAGTGCATAACTGTTTCATTGAAGGAAATATGATGGATTTTCATTTGTTTACTTCACGGCTTTTCATTCTTCTTCTTGCTGTACGGTCAAGATAAGATACAATGAATGGACGTTATAAGAAGTTTGCCAATAGCAGATAACTTCAGTAGTTGTTGAAAGCTAGCTGCCAGAAGAAAAAATTTAGAGGTCAAATATGGCCGACTAAATAATGAAAATTTCTCAACTTTAAGTGCTTGTTTCTAGTAATAAACCATCTCATAACTCAAGTGTCAACCAAGTCTCTTGATTTTGTGAGCTAGGAAATATAAGAAGAAAAAAGTTGAAAAAGGACTAGGCCAGGCAATATTATATAGACGCCATCTCGTAAAAGAAACAGGTCTCGGAGCTAAGAAAAGCCACATTTTCATTTTTCCCTTTTTCATATTAGTCAATCAGTAGACTGAAAAAGCCATGGAGGCACAAGTACGATGCAATGGTGATTCTCCTCAGTAGTCAAATACTCGGTAGATTATCCTGTCGTCGAATGAAAGCACTGAATCCTTTTTTTATTCGTATGACACTTAACCAATAAAAGAATGATCTTTTTTCTTCTGTTTTTTTTTTCTTCATGTCCTCGTTTATCTATCCATCCTTTTGATTATAGTATTGTGTTAAATGATCAAGATATTCTAAAACTAAAATTTCTGGAACTATTCCTGTCAACGTCAGGCTAAAAGAAAATAACGTTTAGTTGTAGAATATCTCGATCATGTTAAAAATCTAATAAACTTTATCGATTGATATGTTTCTAATTTTCAGCACCATGATCCCAGTTCAAAGTTTTTAACATACCGCTGTAGGGGAAAAAACTACGCTGGTTTTGTTCAGAGTAAAGTAAAAAAGATCAGATTTTTTAAGGGCCAACGTTGTATCTTTATCCGAATCTGTCTCATAAGGTATAGGTGACATGAGAAAAAAAATTCTTTGCCCATGCTCTCCTGAAGAGCTTTGATCTTTACTTGACCGTGCTCTTGTACCGCTGAGGTATAGTGTAAACTGTGTGTCAACGAGTAAACTTTTTGAACGTCTTCTTCTCTTAGTACTTAATAAGAAAATGTTCGCAAAGCTCAGAATCTGTGTATCATTAATTTTGAGCATTAAGACAAATTCGCTGACTAACTCTGCGATCTAGAGAAGGAAGCAAATATTTTGATAGTTTTGTCTTACTTTTGTCTTGAACAACTGTAAATTCAACAGTTTTATCTAGGAAGGTTTATGTAATTCATTTAAATAGTTCTAGAATATGTCATCAACTGCTCGTGCTACTGATGAAGGACGCAAAAAATCACTGAAAAGAAAGAAAGTCGATATTGATGAACAGAGTGAGACGAGTATTAGTCACCATGAACGTGAAATTGATTCGGACGATGAAGTTCCATCGAATACAATTGGAAGTGGTGTGCCGTTGAAATGGTACGATAAACACGAACACATTGGTTATGATTTAAATGCGAAAAAAGTTTATAAACCAATACAATCTGGAAAAAAATCGGATGAAATTGATCAATTTTTAGAAAAAATGGAAAATTCTGATTATTGGAGAACAGTTTATGATGATTTAACTGGTCAAAATGTAACATTAACAAATGATGATATTAACTATATTCAACGAATTAAAAATGCTCAAACAATCGGTGATGATGTTTATGAACCGTGGCCGGACACATTTTCAAGTGAAGTAATGATTCATCCAATATTGAATACACCAGAATCAAAAGCATCGTTTATACCGTCGAAATGGGAACGTTTGAAAGTTGGTAAATATGTTCATGCAATTAAAATGGGTTGGGTTAAACCTCCACCTCCAAAAGAAGATCCATTGTTATCAAATACTTATGATTTATGGTCCGATGATAAAACCGATTTAAATTTACCACGTTCATATATTCCTGCACCAAAATTAGAATTACCTGGTCATCGAGAATCCTATAATCCATCAAATGAATATTTGTATGATGATAACGAATTAGAAAAATTGAGACAAAAACTGGAAGATGATTATGATGAAGATGAACGTATGACAAAAACATTATTTATACCACAAAAGTTTGACTGTTTAAGACGTGTACCATCATATGATAATTTTATTTATGAACGATTTCAACGTTGTCTAGACTTATATTTATGTCCAAGACAAAAACGACTAAAAGCAAATATTACAGATATTAATGACTTAATTCCAAAATTACCCAAACCACAAGATTTACAACCGTTTCCAATTGTTCAATCATTAATCTACGAAGGACATAAATCCCAAATACGTTGTTTAACATGTCATACCAACGGTCAGTGGTTAGCAAGTGGTAGTGATGATTGTACAGTGAGAGTTTGGGAAATTGAAACAACAAGATGTATGAGAATATTGACATTTAGTAGTCCTGTTTTGTCGTTAGAATGGAACCCAGTATTATCAATATTAGCCGTGGCATGTGAAGATAAAGTTATTATGGTAAATCCAAAGTTAGGTAAGAAAAGCTGATAGACTTGTGGAATATATAGCTCCATACAAAATTTACCGGCGATCGTGAACTTTTTTTGTGTTTTACTACTATGTTTATATTTACGAGCAAATTGTCGTTAAAATTAGAAAAAACTTTCGAATACTCCTCTCATTCACATCACACTGACAGTGAATGACATTCTTCGGATGAATCTCTTCGACTAGTCCAGATAAATAGTACGTTACAACATTACCTTTATTTATAAAGTCAGAAAACATCTTAATGTGTTAATCTTCAGTACAGTGGAAAGATCGACAGAAAGAGGGTATAAATCATCTAGGAGTGAGATACAAACAAGTACTATGGTTAAGTTTAATGAACTTCTCACAGAAAGACTACTGAAAAGAGAAGGAACACTACTGTGAGGTATGACGATTGAGAAAATCATTCGTTCAAAAGTTTTCAAAAAATTCTCATATTGTAAAACGTTTAGAAGTTTTCACAACACAGAATTTTCTATAAATGATCATTTAGACACAAATGCACATTTTGCATCTTTAAGTTTCGCATTGGTAAACTCTAGCTATCTGACATATTGAATATTTATTAAAAACCCGTATCTACAACTTCACTCTGCTCATTAACACCGGATCTGGCATACAATCTACGTTTGTCTGTTTAGGTGAACAAGCAAAAACATTGTTTACTGATGAATTTCTTAAACAAATTCAAGTTAATCAATCTGATGATCAAAATAAGGATATTCATTGGTCAAACGAAGAAAATGATGAATATATAAGGTTGGAAATTAAGCATTTTGCTCGCGTGAAACAAGTACAGTGGCAAGGACGTGGAGATTATTTTTCGTGTGTGTTAAATACAACAGCACAACAATCAAAATCAAAATCTGTTGTTATACATCATCTGTCGAAGTGTCGTTCACAATTTCCATTTAAACATTTGAAAGGTCATGTTCAATTCGTTAAATTTCATCCGAATAAACCGATTCTATTCATATGTACTCAACATGCAATTAAAATTTATCACTTAATACGTCAAGAATTGTTGAAGCGATTATTTGTAAACACAAAATGGATATCATCGATTGACATTCATCCACACGGAGATAATTTAATTATTGGAGGTTATGATTCAAGAATTAACTGGTTTGATTTAGATGTAAGTTATTAGTATCTGTCTAACAGAATGAAGCTTTACAGAAGTTACATGTCGGATTTACTTTGTCTTTATTTTCAGTTAAGCGTGAAACCATATGAAACGTATCGCTATCATAAACGTGCAATTCGATCAATTAAATATCATCAAAAATTACCATTGTTTGCATCAGCTAGTGACGATGGTTCATGTGTTATATCACATTGTATGGTTTATCAAGATTTATTAAAAAATCCATTAATCGTACCAGTCAAAATATTGAGAGGACATAAAATAACCAATGATATTGGTATTTTAGATTGTTTATTTCATCCTCAACAACCATGGATATTTACATCCGGATCAGATTCAACAATTCGATTATATACAAACTAATTGTTTTTTTGTTTTGATTTTATTCAAAACTATTGTGTAATCGTTTTTTATAAACGATAAGCATTTGTTAAATTTGTTTTTGAAAGTTAAAGTATGGAAATAGCTCTTGATGTACTTTCCTCTCATATTTTAGATTTAACATCTTTCAATGAAGACTATTATGATGAAGAAAAATTTCAAGCATTTTTTTCAAATTTTTGTATGAGATTAGCTAGATGCCTTGTTGTGGATGATTGCAGCTATTTTTTTGACTCACGAATTGCTTTACTTCATCAGAAAAACAAGAAATGCATTTCTCCAAAATACGTAGTTTGTATTTTAAACAAACTGTTGTCCCTTAGTAAACAGATCCAAATTTACCACTTTTTTTAACACTAATCTATTACATCACGCTTTGTTTCTATTTTTTAGATAAAACTGTCGAATGAACTAAAAGGAAATAAACTTGCAACTATAAAATCTAAAGTTCAGTTTGTCTGTTGTTATGTGAAAATATCTAAAATACTTTTCTCTTTCACATATTAATTGCTTTTCTTTGATTATATTTCATTTGTCGATAAAAAGGGCGTCATCATGTTCGCGAATTGACTTAGTAAAGTAACGTATTCAGAAATCATATGTCATTATCTGATCTGAATCAAACGAATTCGTTAATAATGATGATGATTTAAATTGATTTGTCTATAATCATTAAACGATCGAAGACATGAATAAATCATTAACTAACGGTGATTATGTAATGATAATTAAGTTGAGTTTTGATTTTGTATTTAAAATAGTTTACCTGACAAGTTTTCCTATTTAAATCTTTAGATTGTACACATCTTACTTTAGAACAAGATCGTGCATGTTTTAATTTAAAGTAGAGTAGCTAGCTGCGCTTTATCCTTTGTCACGAACAAATTGATTCTGACCTGGTATTACATTCTTTCATTCAAGTATTTTCCCTAGGGTAGTTTCTTGAACTTTTGTCTGTTCATGACATGGCATAAATCTGTAAAATTATCTTTATTCCTCTGGTTGTTTCTTCTTAGACGATGAATTACAATTTTTTTTTCCGTCAACGAACTTACTATTATCCGTAAGGGATCTGCACGTTTTCTCAACATTTTTTGAACCGTAAAAACATGAAAATTTGTGGATTTTGCCGAATCGAAAGAGACGTCTTCTGCTAAAAATTGTTTTCAGACAGTAGGATTTTGAAAGGATCTTGGGAAAACCTAGTACGGTTTTCAAAATTTGAAATACCAACAAATTCCTTTTTATATATGGACAGATAGTCCTCTTTGTATATCTGGTACACCCTTTAGTTCAAGAGAAGGATTAACAACACTAGAAAGTATTTTACACGGTGAAAAATTATCTTAAAAACCTAAGCTATAAATTTCGGTCATAACGATAACTATGCTTCATCAGTTTTTGAGGTTCTCAGGAAATTGAAAGAATTAGTCCTTGAGCTCTCACGAAATGCCACATCAAAAATATAATATATGAAAACAGCGGTTATTTTTCATTTTTTTAGAGAACACTTTGATTTTGAAAATTCAATCAGGTTTTCTGAAGATCCTTTCAGAATCCCACACCGTCTAAAAACAGTTTTCTAGCAGAAGATTTTCCTTTCGATCTCCTCTATATAATGGTGAAATCTCCAAATTTCTATCTTTCACCGTTTTAAAAACGTCCTGGTCTATGGTAATAAGTTAATCAATTTTTTAACTTATTTAAAAGCAATAATTTAAGACAGCAGCCTGTTTGCATTTCGTTATAAAAATCAAACACACTGCCGGATTACTAATCTTCATGCTTAACCGATTTTATCGCTACTTTAATGAAAAGATTTCGTGAGCATCGAGCCTTGTTTTCGAAGTTTCAAAACCAAAGTTACAAGAGCATAAGAAGACGATGCGTTGCATAATTACATAGGAAGGATTCTTTTTGGGTGACTGATTACATTTCTTAATTCAAATGCTTTATAAAAATAATATGACTGATAGTAGTGACACCACTAGCCAGCAAAGCATGAGATAAAGTGTGGATTTCATCGACTATCTTTCTTTAGTTTCTTCCAAAATGACTTAAAAACTCTACTAGAAGTTGTTTTCTTGTTCTTTCAACAAATTTTGCCGTCGTTTGACCTTTGCTATTCTCTACGTATATGCCTATTTTTTCTTCTTCTCTCTCTGCAACCATTCTTCTTCTCAGTTCTATCGGGAGGGGAGGGAGCTGTCGAATACTTTTTCGTCAAAATGTCGATCGCTTTATGCTTCATAGAACATTGCGAACGGTAACAAAATAAATAATACAACCTCTTGCATTATTCTCCTTCTTTCTTTCTTTTCTTGTTGGAAATAAGAAAGCAACAGAAGAAAAAAAAGAAGTTTTTACGAACTGCACAAAGGTTTTCTATAGATGTACGTGGGAGCTTCCTTTTTCCATTCCTTTTTTGTTTTCCTGTTGCGAAGGAAAAAAGAAGAATAAATATGTAAGTAAAACTGATAAGTTGAAGACCTGTAGATAGATATACACTCGCACTGTTTCTTTCTCTCTGTCTCTCTCTTTCTCTCTCAAGTCAAAGATGATGAAATGATGGCATATTATAGACAGAACTCGGAAGGAAAATACATACATTGAATAGAGAAACAGCTAAAGAACAAGGAATGCTTAATAGAGAAATTTTTCCTCGTTCGTTTTTTTATTGAGATGTGGTTTAAAGCTGAATACAACAATAAAAGTCAAGTGCTTATGATGTAGTTTATTTTTTTAAAAGGTGGGTATAAAAAGGAATGTTCAAGTGCGCCTAATAGGTCTATTAGATATTGACCATTATTACAGGGACGTTTTGCCCAAACTCCAAGAGTTCTCTCAAGAAATTTCGATGAAGAACATTTTTTTCTAAGAATTTCGAAATATCGACACGGTTTGGGGACAGGGTTGACAAAAATGGCTATTAGACAGCTTTGCTGATAACTATACGAAGAAATTATATTCTAGATGCATTGTAAAAGTATTAATAATGTCAAAATTTGCTGGTATTGTACTAAAACTGTCTAATAGCCATTTCTGTCAACCTTATCTTCGAAACCGCGTCAATATTTTGAAATTCTTAGAAAAAAAATGTTCTTCATCGAAATTTCTTGAGTTAACTCTTGGAGTTTACGAAAAACGTCTTTGTAATGGTCGTCGATCCCATTAGCGTTACTAAGCGTGTCTGTTTTAATAGCTTTATCGTCGCTAGATTTCTGTTGTTATAAGAATAGAAACTTGTAAGTAAGAAAGGAAACATTGTAGCAAATATGTCTCTCAATTTTTTTCTTGCTTTAACGGTTTGTTTTCGTTTTAAAGTTATAGATTTTCTAGAAAAGAATGTTAAGTGAATTTTAGAGCCGTATCTCCTATAAATGTGATAACAGTAACAATATCTCAGAAGAGAAGTGAATGGAAGTGTGCAAAAAGTCTCGAAAAAGTACAACCGATATTTGCTAAAAAAACTTATGATCCATAACCGTGTAAAAGTCTTCATTTGCATAGTGTAATCCGTTTATGTACTACTAAGATTTGTATAAAATAGTTTTCGCGGAAGAAAACATTTTTCTTCTCGAAATTCGGGCTATTTTGATTTGTGTTATGTTACCTTCTGTGCGTTTGTTAAAATAATTGAATTATAAAAAAACAATCTTGTTTTTTTTCTGCGTAATTAAAACGAATGCCATAAGCAAAAATGCAATACTAGTTGATAATATCAACTATGATGATCAGTTCATCTTGTAATACAAAAAATATATAAGAGATAAAATCATGGACGATATTCGTAGTAATAGAATAGAAAAAAATGTATATATACATGTACTACATAATATTTCTAACAGCTATAGACATTGTACTTGTCACTTTAATATTTGAAACGTTGCGCTCCTTCAAAATCATATTGCTTGGATATTTGACCCTGAATCGGTCAAGTCAGATACAGACATGAAAATTTTACCTTGTCTGCACAAAAATTGATTATTCCAAATATTAGTTTCGAATATAAAAGAATTGGCATGAATATGAAAATCAACAATATAGCATGCAAAAGTTAAAATAAAGATGGATAAAATAGTGGGAAATCAAATCCAAAACAAACTTTTCGTTGTAAAAAATATGAACAATAACTTTTTTCTATTAGCAATGGGCGTATATTGTAAATGAATGTAAAGCATGACAGGCGCAAAACATTATAATAAATACATTCAAAACTAAGTAAAATCTTACGTGACTATCGATCGGTAAATATAGAACATCTTTGTACTAAAGATTTTCAGAGAGGTAATATACAGAATCGTGTTTCTACATATCAGGAATGCCTTGCGAGCATTGCACTCAAAATTCGACGCTGAATTTGTTTAAAACCTATTAATCTTCTTGATCGGTCTACAATAAAGTGAATTACTGTAGAAAACTAAATGTTTTGAGGGCAATGATCTTTCCATTTTGTCCTGATATTTGTCAACTTGTATTTATTAACATTTTCACCCTTGAAGAACTTTTTGTTAGTTTTCCGTATTTGACGCTACTGAATGTTTATTATTTCTGAAGTAAAATGAAGATGACTCCGTTTGTCAGCACGTTTGAAAACAACGTGCAAAAATCTTACACTCATAGAATAGAAATGTTCATTTTATAATACAGAATAGTTTTTAAAGTTTACTGTTACATCAGTCAAATGGTGTGATTTTTATGACGTCAAAAAAAACCGTATCAAAATTTCTCAAAAATGAGATTTTTTTTTAATACGAGAAAGAAACTTGGGGAAATTTTTAATGGATGAGTATCATTTCATCATTTTTTGACTTGTTCAGTTAATAAACACATGTATCTCACTCTTTCGCGGTTTCTTTTGTAAAAAAATGATGACAGCGAAAGAAAGATAGGAGAACAATTAATTTTTTGTTTTATTCTATTTGTAGTTTTCTGCTTAGTGAAAAATCATTCGAGCGTGATGGTGCGCACATTGCGTGTGT